CTCGCTCTGTACTGCTCAACTTCTTGCTGCAAAACAAAACATCTATTATTGGAAATCAGCTTGGATACCAAGGTTACATTTGAAGTTAGCCCATGTGAGCTTGCTGGGCCTCATGACCCTCACTGTGTTTGCGCTTTCTGTTTACTTTTGCCGGAGTCAGACTGGGTACGTACCTGAGTACGTCTAACTACATCAGGATGTTCTTGATAGAAGTTCTTCTCGAATTTGGGCAGCTCATCTAAATTCCATTTCTTTTTTGTAAGTTTTTCCCCAGGGTTTCCAAATTTCTTTCCAGACAGAGGTCCACCTCTACTTCCTCCAAAACGGGGGGCTCCAAACCTAGGGAGAAAGAATGTAACGTAGAATCCAAGAGAAACATTTTGGTGTTCTTACAGGAGTTCACCACCATTTTTGTGGTTCACCCCTGTAACTTTACAATTTGGATGTATAATCCCTACCTACTTTAAGATATTGAAACTTTAAAAAACATACTTTAAGCTGCAGATGCCACAACCTGCCTCCCTACAATTCTCATTCAGAAGCTAAGGTAACGTATCTTTGCATTTTCCATAAAATGCAATCAGAAGGCAAGTTACAACAGGCAAGGCAAGGCCACAAAACCTTTGCATTACCCCGTGATCAAAATGGATTCCCACCCCGTTGACACTCCCTTTGCTTCAGCAGGCAGGGGCAGTTATGAAACACTGGGATAACTTTGCCACAGACCGTTTTTTGTTTCTTTTTGTATCCTGGAAGACACACTTCTCTGAACAACGATATAATATAAGGTTTTATTCACATTTTAGGTTCGGTCCCCGCGTTGGGAGCAGGCAGATCCCCCCCGCCCCGAGGCGCAGCTCGGAGCCGTGCGCTGGATCCGAGCGCGGGGCTCCCTCCCCCGCCCCGATCGCTTCCCAATTTTGGCCGGGCGGGCGTCGGGAGCGAGATCCTTCCCAGCACAACCCAGCGCTCCCCGAGCGGCCGCTGCTTCCTGCCAGCGCTGTTTCCTTTGTCTCTCATTTCTGTCTACGCCACATTTTCCAGCCGCTGCCATTTTAGAGCCGGCGCTGGGCGGGGGGAGGAGGAGGAGGAACAAAGGCAGCAGCAGCACAGCCGGCATTTTGATTCCCCTCAGCCACCGCATGGCGGGGCCGGCCATTAACATCCGCTTACACAACACAAAGCGGAGCCGGCCGGCTCCCGCCGGCCACAGCCCGAGCCTCGGCGGGGGGAAGGGAGCGAGGGGAACCGCCCTACCGAGCGCTCCCCGGGGCTCCGGCACCGCCAACCCACTGACCCACAAACCTGCCGCCCGCCCGCCGCTGTCGGCGGGGGGAATCGGGCTCTGCGGGGGCCATCCGTGCTCGGGGGGTGTCCCCGCAGGAGCGGGGAGCGAGTACTTTCCCCGCACACATATTAAAAAAAAAAAAATAAAAATAAAAAAAAAAATCCCCACCCGCGCCCCCCCTCAGGGCTCTCACACCCGCGGGGCTGCGCTGAGGCGGAGGAACCGAGCCCAGATCGCTCCGCCGCCCACGCTCGGTGGCCTAAAAAAAGCCAGGTCCCCTCCCCCCGCCGGCCCTGGCGGCGGGAGCGCTGAGGGAAGGGCTCGGGGCCCAACGCCCGCCCCGCCGCCATCTTAAACGGCTGAAAAACAACCCCAGAGCCCTGCGGGCGGGCTCAGAGTCCGGACGCTGGCGGCGGCTGGCGCCGCCGGGCCCCCGGACTCACCCTCTGTCCCTGTCGCTGGAATACCCGGGCATGGCGATGGTGGCGGTGGGCGAGGCGATCCCGATCACTTAAAGAAGGTGACGAAGAGTCGGACGCGATCCGACGCCGCTGGCGGGGGCCGCTCACTGTGGGCGCCCGGCCGCGCGGACGCCGGTTATATATGGGGGCCGCGGAGGCTGCCGGGAGCCGGCGCGTGACGCACGCGTGGGCCCCGCCCCCGCCGTTATGTAAGTGGCCCGAGCCGGCCCAGAGGCTCCGCCCCCTTCCGCGTGGGCGCGGCCTCCGCTCGCCCGACTGACCGGCTTTGAGCTCGCGGCCGGAAGTGCCCCCTCCCTTCGGGGGCGGTGCCTGCACTGGCGTCACTGCCCACACCCCCACACTCCCCCCCCCGAGCCTCGTTCTGGCTGAGGGGTCCCGGCCCGAGGGGTCGGGGATGGAGGGGATGGAGATTTCCCCCTCCACAACTGCCACCTTTCGGCCGCCCACCGTGTTTAAAACGCCTCTTGGCTCCTCCTGCAGTTTCTGGCCGGGCAGAGCCAGACCCCTCTGCCCGCAGTGCAGCCCCCCCCCCGGTTCTCACAAATCCATATGTAGTCCATGTGAACTGCTCGTGAAAATCCTCCTGAAAGGGCTGCCACACATAAAGCTCAGGCTCGAGGGGAGCTTGGGCTTTTAACTAATCACTGATACTTCATGTTAGATAAGCCACACGCCCACCTGTGACTTTTGCTCTTGGAAGGCCTCAGATGTGCAGATCTTCACCACTGCGAGCTGGACTCACAGTAACTGAGCATTAAATGCTTCCTAGTTCTTTTAGAATGCTCCCCGTTGCCGTTTATAAATGTTACATATATGTTCTGTAAACAGCTACCAGTGTTATCTTTTGGAATTCCAAGCAGGGCCGGTAACCTGACTCAAAGGTCACCCAGGGAGCTGCGGTGAGGGCAGGCTGTGCTGGACAGATAAAAACATTCAATACCCCCAATGGACACCGAGTTTTGCACCTGTCTGGCTTTGCCAGGTGAGGAACAGCCCAAATGTCCGGGTACCTCAGGCTTTACACACACAAAAATTGAAGTATAAACACCAGCAGCCACCTGTTCCAGGCAGAGAGGGATGGAAACCAAAACAACATAAGGAAGAACTGCCATAACAACACTCTCCGTTTATATCCTCCCACCTTCTAGCAATCCGAGATTTGAGGCTTTTCTGAGACAAAAATAACTGCATCTGATGGCCATTTCTTCACATTTTGGTTCTATTTATGCCCTCAGCTTCTAAGATACCATGACAATGTGTTTCAGTTTGACTGTACGCGACCTGAAAAACATTTACTTTCATTTTCAACAGATTGCCACGTAAGAAAAAAGGGCACGATTCAACATGAGTTATTAGAAATGCTAATGATTGTCTATTTATTTATACCCTTTGTGGGCATTAATACCTTGTAACTCACCTTCTCTACAAACCAAAGCTGAAGTCTAATTTTTCCTCTTTTTTAAAAGCAATTCCACATTTCTAAGTATCTTTCCCATTTTCTCTTTATTGACAAGAAATTCGCAATGTTTATGCTCTGGACCCCGTACAGATTCACATAACGACAGTATAAAGATATTTTCGATCTGTTGTGTGTTATTTCCTAACGATTTTTTTTTCTTTTTTTGATTCTTGCTAAGAACAGAGCAAGGTTTGCAAAGACTGGATGTTTCCACGACATCTTCCTCGAACAGAACACTTCAGTCAGGCTTATCTTTGTTTATGAACAGCCACAGCTGCTCTCCCTTCAGCAACTTGGAATTCCACCTCTTTTTCTTGTTATTAACTTCTTATCTTAGTAGGCTCCGATTTGACGACCAGTTTTGTTAATACTATCCCTGCAAATTTCTAACAGAGGAACTTCCCCAATTTTTTTCAGGATGGACTTCACGGATTTAATAAGGCTTTTGAAAGATTTTTCTCCCCAAATGCTTCTTTTAACACTCTATACCCACTGACCCTACAGACTTCCTGTTTCTGAGGAGTCTGAAAAAGGTTTTTGCAAAGGCTCCAAAATAACAGATTATCTGAGTTTTTCTTGTTCTGTTACATTAATTTAACACAGCTAATTTCATTTTTGTGTGTGTGTGTGTGTATAAGGTGGCTCTGTTTCTGTGCTGTTTAATCTTTCACAGGTTTTAAAGAATTGAAAAGTCTAAACAAAAACCTCGCCTCTGCCTTGCCCGCTCACATTTGGTCTGCAAGGAACTCCTTTCGATTTCCTTTGTAAAAAACTTCCTCGTTTTTCTGTTCCACCCAAGTTAAACACCAGCACTCTTCCTGTTTTCTCTTCCTAATTTGAGCCTAATTCTCTGTTTACAGAGCTGTGTGTGTATCAAACTGCAGTCCATGTTTAGTTTAGCCTCACAGCACTGATACGTGTTTGCTTACCTGCACAAAAGCTCTTTTGTGTTCCTAAGGTGATGTGTGGATTTGGATTTATATCTCCACGCGACAGCCGGGGGGCTGCTGGAGCTCACATCGCTGAGCTTTATTTGCTGCCAGTCATTGTTCTCACATTCATAATTGTGATCTCAGCTGCTTCTCTCACGCTCCAGGACTTTAAGGACAAAGAGCACCATTTTTTCCTAGACTTGATGCAACACGGAAATTCCAGAATTCCTAAGGAGAATGTGGAATACTGTTGCTCAGTGAGGAAGATAACATGCTTTTCACCTACTCAAAAACCTGTATACTAAGAGCTAATAGAATGAGTTTCGCTAAGTAAACCGTTCTAAAACTTGTTTTTTAATGAGGGTTTTAACACTCCTTCCATGCACAGAAGCCATAAAAACCTGGATTACCGGACGATTAACACCAAACCCCCGGTCATGGACATAGCGGCCGGCAAAGGCCCCAGGTCAGGGCCGCAAGGTCAAGCGCTGGAACCTTCGCCAGACCGGCCTCTCCCTACCTATTTCACCGAAAAAACGCCCACAGCCGCCTCGCTTCAGGTGACGGAGGCGGGACCGCCTGGCACCCCCCACACGCACCGCCGCCATTTTATACCGACAGTGCCCTCGGCAGCCAGGGGCGCTCCTGGGGGTTTAATCCTGCGCGGAGGGCTCAGGGGGCGGCGGCACCGACCGGGGGGAGCCGTGAGGGGGCTGAAAACACCGCCCTCAGAGCGGGACTGGGACGGGGACGGGAACAGGGAGCGGGACCGGGACCGGGACCATTCCGGGGACCGGGACAGACCCAGGACCCGCCCTTGGCCCTCCCTTCCTGCGCCGCCCGCCCAATGAGCGCGCGGCACGCGGTTTAAATGGCGGGGCGGGCGCCGATGGCCGTTGGTGCCGCCATGGGCAGCGCTGAGGGCACAGGTAGGGCCGCGCTCCCTCAGGGCCCCTCGGGGCACTGATCACCGCTCCCGGAGGGCTCATGAGGGCACCGACTGCCGCTCCCCGGGGCTCGCCGTGTTCGCTCCCTCGCTGCGCGGCCTGGCGGTGGGGCGGGTCCCGGTGCCGCAGCTCCGGGGAGCCACCTTCTTTGTGACTCCTCACCCCCGGCTGCTCGCATCACTGGTGCTGTTTTATTCAGCCCCTTAAACCTGTCTTTTCCTTGTGTCGTGGCTTTTTAAGCTCTTTAGTTTAACCTCCCCGGTGGAGCTTTGGAATTAATAAAGCTGGAGATGAGCAATAAGAGGAGTCTACCAAGATATCAGCCTGAAGTGTAGGGAGTGCTACTTTAAGCTTTCATTCACCTGAAATTATTAAAATGTTTAAATAAAGTGATGTCTGGAACTGATGGAAGACTAAAGGGGCGGAAAAGTAACACCCCCTATGTACAGAATAGAAAAACTGTGCAAACTAGTTTCTCTTGTAGTAACTGTATGTTTTTTTCCTTCCAAGGATGACTTACCCCTTCTCCAACAATTTAGGTCTTTAATACTTACTAAAATACCACAACGATTTGCAAAGGCAGCATCGTGGAGGGGGAGGTGGAAATCCAGCCCCAAGAGGTCAGAGGCTAAGGGAGATTTAGACTTTAGTTCTTCCAAGGTGGTGTTTGAAGTGGGTGACAAGGAGGAAAGCAGAGGGTACATGTACCTCAAAACACCTTGGAATCCAGGACTCAGAAGTTTTGGGAAAATCAGGCTGTTAATGCACATCTCACTGTACTCCTCAGAGCATGGAGTTGGTGGGACCAGCGTCATATTCCTGTAATCCCTTAACAACTAATAAAAGTAATCTTAGGATTCAGCTTTCCTGGGGAATATTGACATTAGCAGCGATGTCTTTGCCGAAGGGTATTGGTGAACCTGGGTTTGGAAGAGAAGCTCCTGCTTTTCCAAAGAGTACATATAATTTCTGATTATTGATAAGCAGCATATCAAAGCTTGGTAAACTCGTCAAGGATTGGAATTCCCGGCTACGAGGCCACATCCAAATTTGTTTTCCATTATATGAAAGGAGAAAGGAACCTGCCCAGCCTGCGGTACTTCAGTGCCCTTCAGCTCCCAAGTCTGGTTGTGCTGTGACTGTACTTGTACAATATGTTCAATATTTGGGGTGATTTAACTGACCATGTCCTTATTTCTGTGTCTTTCAGCTCTGACATTAATATGTTTTGCCTCTTAATAGATTGGGTTGACGTTGCCAATGGTCTTTTGAGGAGCTGTCACATAAACCAGCACATAAAGCATCTCTCGGAATGTGGTGCTGACGTGTTTGTTCGTCTTTATGAGTCAATCTTGGGAGAAAAAGTACCAGGTAGGAATGATAATTTTTAAATCTTTTTGGTTTTGTCACCGTGTGTTCTGTAATGAAAAAAAAAATTGAAAAAGTTGGTGCTTACTACTTATGAAAAATTTCATGTGCAAGGTACTGAAATAATACTAATTTATAAGCAGAAGTTAGAGTAGTTTAATAAAGTACCTGCAATAAGCTGGCCATTTGGTTAGCCTAAGATCTATTATTTCTTTTAAATAGATTTCATAGCTACTCCGAGGAGCCAAGAGGATGATGCACACAATGTACAAGCAGTAATAGATTCCCTGGCACTGGACTATTTGCAGGTCAGCTTGTCTCACATCACTGGTAAGTATTTGTTTTCATGAGACAAAGACCAGTTTGTGTGTGGTTTAATTGGAATAATTTATAAGAAGCATGTGTTATACAGAATGCTCTCATACCTGCAGGAAGGTCTTCGTCCCACAGTGAATGTCATCAGAACACTGAACCCTTGCATTGAACATCAGGTTGTAAATTGAAACAGCAAGCAGGGAATAAATAAGAGGAAGAAATGTTAAAGTTAAGCCAGCCATCCTTCAGCTGGCTGCTAAACTGCTACCTGCAATCTGTTACTTGCTCATGCTTGCAGATTGGATTTTCAGGCACGAGCCTTGAATTTCAAACTCGTTAGTGCATTTTTAGGAGTTGGTTTGAGCTGCTGTGCCTGTCCCTTGTACACAGAAAATGGCTCTCACTGAGCACTCACCTACAGCCTCACATAACACAACCTGCCAAGAAGGAAAACTGCTTGTTGTGAAGTGTTTCTGGTGCCTGGATGGTGTGGCTGGTGTTTGCTGCTGGCACCCCAGAGACTGGGGTCATGCTGTAGTTTGGATAAGAAAAGTGTTAAATACTAACTATCCCTGAAAATATCCCTGAATATTTCTCTTAATAAAGTTTCACTTAATAGAAGTGAAAATATGCAACTTTAGGATGCTAAAAGATACCTTAAGCTTACATGTGTAGCCATAAACAAGTGATCAGTTGTCTTCTGAGCTGACACCTTCACCAAGCACTCTCCTCCAGAAAACTTGGAGAACTTTTCCTCTGTGAGGTACTAATCATTAATATGTGCCATTACCTTCTCTTCAGGTGAGAACATTGTGAAAGGAGAGAGGGAATCTATCAAAAACCTCCTGGAAATATTTGATGGTTTGTTAGAGTATCTGACAGAAGCCAGTGAATCTTCTTCTCGCACTGGAGGTGAGCAGATGTAAACCCACAGTGTTTCCAGTGTAGCAAAGATTTATTCAGTATTTTCCCCTCATTTAAGACCTTGAGAAAGACAAACTGACCATGAGGGAGGACATTTCCGTGGCCAAACTGAGTGTTTGTATTCCTTATTTTCATAAGCAATAACAAAATAATATCCCCCAAATCCTGTTAAAAGGCTAGAATTGGAGTACATAACCTTTCTGCTTCTTTCTTGTGGCAGAAACCTCCTCTAGACCATTCATCCTCTGTTAGCTGCTTTTCAGCCTGTCAGTCAAATGATTTAGGATTAGGATTCAGGGAATGTTGGCTTTAATTGGAACAATGAGCAAATGTCCTTTTTACTTACTGGGAGGCAAGTGAGCTGGGTCTTGGGGGGTAAATCCAGAGCAGGAGCTATTTTGAGGAGAAAGGTAAATGAGAGAGGAGCTGTTTCTTGCAAATAATTGCCTCTTGGTTATTAACAGCTGAAGCAAATGTGCTGTCCAGTCATGAAATTCAAACTGCATCTCAAGAGCAGCTGGAAGGCAACACTGATCAACTTACAGAGCATTCAATACCCTCGTCAGCTGAAGGGTAAGAACAGTTCTGAATATTTGCATTGACATAGAGATTGACCATCTTTGTGTATCTGTAGAGAAACTGGTAAGTTTTTAATAGTGTGGAAACCCACTGATTACACCTATCAAATGGCATGTGAGGTAACTCTCCTTTGGTCAGGCAGCACGAGGGCTAAAATTAGATCCAGAACTTTTTGGAAGAGAGTGCTGATGGCATTTTGTTTCCCTTAGGTTTGCTTTACAAACTTTAATCAGTTCTCAACGATTGTGTTTTAGTGACACCGAACTGGATTTGTCTTTGTCGCTCCTGCCTTGGTTTGTCCTGTGGGAGGAAGGCTCGTGTCCCGTGCTGTCCCAGCCACTCTCTGGTGTCACAGCTCCTCTGCAGCTCCATCTCGTGGGCTGAAGGGGCAGAGACCTGCAAAGTTAATATTTCATGGCTTATGTTCCCTTCAGGTCCCACTCAGAGTATTTCCTTCTAACCTGTGATGCAGATGGCTCAGAATCCACCGGTGAATTAATTAGGCTTGGAGACACTGCTCATTCATTTTCCAGGAGAGAGGAAGGTGAGTTTGGATGAAAAAACATTAAAGACCACTCTGTGGTAACACTTCTAGGCTTTTTTTGTTGTCACAGGTGACACCTCAAGTCCTTTGTGTTTGTCTCTGCAGGGTGGATGGAATCTGTTCCTGCTGCTGAGCCCCTCAAAGAGGGGGTGGGTGCCAGTGCCACCAAACTGGGGGAGCCCATCCAGCAAGCCATTCCTCTGCTGCCCCCCTTCCAGCCTTCACACCCTGCCTGGAGAGGTTTCCACAGCTCACACAGACAGGCAGCAGCTTTGGTAAGCAGCCAGAAAATTCCTGCTGTAAGGAAAAACCTAGCCTTTGGTTATTTTTTATTTAATTAATTAATTATTTATTTATTAGTAAGCCATACTGCTTTCATTTTAAAACCCAGTTAGTTCACTTGGCCTCTGAAGAACAATTGTGAACGTGTCAGAGCTTATCTCAGTTCAAAGAATTTTTGGGTTGTGGATTTGTTCTTCACTAACTGTCTAGAAAGGAATTTAATTTGAGGGGTGTGTTTATTTTAGACACATCCCCATAATCAATGTAACTGCACAGTTGGCAATAGAGCAAACAAAATAATTATAGTGATTTTTGTCTATCCAACGTAGCAAACAAAATAATTATGGTGATTTTTATCTTCTATAAAATCAGCATTGGCTTCCATTTGCAGAAAGACCTAATGTATGACCTTCCTGTCAGCACTCTCCTGTGAATTTATAGAACACATGTTGCTTTTTATTTCAGCTTGAAGAGTCACCTACTGAAAAATCTGATGATGATTCTGGTAGTCTCCTTCTATCAAGAAAGATCCCTGGTAAGAGAAATTTTTGCTTCCTATAGGGGAACTCTTTTAAGTATCACACATTGTGTTTATTTTCACTGGCACCAAGAGAAACATGGTTTTGAAACTATTAGTGCATTGCAGCCACAAGTTCATATTTCTATCTCTGTTTTATAGAGAAACAAAAATAGGTTACTTTTAATCTTTTCCCTGTGCTGGAAAAAAGTAATCCATGTCCTCAGTTCAACTCCTTTCTTCGTTAATCCAGTTAAGATGGGCCTGCACTAGAGAAATCTCCAGCAGATAACTGCCATGGCTGAGCTTATGCTGAGCAAACATGGAGCAAACAAGGCACTTTCAACTCTAACAAAAAAAAAAAAAAAGAAAACCATGAACTGCTATCGTGGCAAAGCTTTAGAAGCTGTTTTTTCCAGTACTCATTTTCTCTGTTGCCTGGGAAACACTGCTTACCTTTCCAGTTTCCATAGCACTGCCATGGCACTGAGACTGCCAAAGTGACTGTCACAGCTGTGTCACCAACCTGGCTTTGTGTCTCTCTTCTCCTTGAGTAGCTCTCTCAATCTCTCTTTGGCTGCACAGGCCGTGGCTCACCCCTTGTTTTCCCTTGTTCCTCCCCTCAGAGGGCCCAGTGCAGGCTGAAGCATCAGCTCACACTTCCCTGTCATCTGCTGCTGCAGTGGGAGCCCAGGTGGGTGATGCTGAGGACAATGGGAGAAAGGTACTTGTTGCACCTTCAGTTGTGGGAGCTCTTTCAGTATTTTTGGATTTCTGCTTAATTCTCCTGATACCTCCTGGCACTTCTTGTTTCAAAGCTGCTTTAGTCTCACTTTCCTCAGAATACAATCAGTGTTGATGGACTAGGACTGTGTACAGTTTGTAAGTCACATCAGTTCATAGCTCCTTCTGGAGCTGTTTGCTCCAAAAAGTGCATGAGCCAGCACCCAGAGAGTTCTAATTTATCACAACCAGCCAGTCACTAATTATCTTGCTTTTTTATCAAAAATACACAAAACACAAGAGTGTGGTCACGTCCTTTCTCTGCAGTGTACCAGCATTCTAAATCAGTAAGAATTTTGGGGTTTTAGGGTTGTTCAACCTCCCATAAAACTTAGATTTTACTCCCTTCTAAAGATCACTGTACAGCCTGATTATATTGGTTCATTTTATTTTATTGCTTTGTCCTTTGCTTTTCAAAAACTGAATAATGCAAAGCCCACGAATCGATCCATGCTGTGCCTGTAGAAATGTGTCTGTATAGGAAATTTCTCGCTCTGGAAACACCATTTTGCCTTCTGCAACCACCAGAGGTACTCACAGACTCCACTTGTTCCTCCGCTTTGAGCAGCTTCTCCTTCTGCACTGCCTGTTTCAAACATTGTGTGTGTTTGAGGCTCGTTCTGTTGGTGCCTGTGCAAGTCCATGCATGGCACCCCCAAATGACTCCTGTCTGGCAGCACCAGAGCAGTGGAACTGATGGCACAAGGACACTTTTGGCTCTCTGGGAGCTGCAGCTCAGTCTGCACTCAGTGAAATTCAGTTTATTTCCACTGCCTGGCATCAGGCCCAGGCTCAGGAGGGGCACTCACCACTTAACCTAGACCTTGTTCTGGTTCACTGGCTGAGCTGTAGATGATTCTTGAGCTGATAGTCTACATTTTTGCTGCTCTATTGCTTTAAGCATTATTTCTCTACAGCGCACTATCTTCAACCAGGGACCTGGAAATACAGCTATTTTTATGTGTCTGTATCCACAGGGTTTGAGATGGTTCTATAAAAGCTGTTGTAGCCTCTCTCTACTCCTGTGATCTATAAGATCTTAATAAAATCTAATTTACTAATCAATTTACTAATTTTCCCTAGGTTCCTCTGGAACATGAGCCTTCTGTATCTGCTTCCTCTTCAGATGAAAAATTCTCCCTGCAATTTGAACAATTAACACAAACTCCAAGACCAGAATCCAGGTACCTGCCTGGAACACCAAGGCAAGTTCAGTGTTTTGGTCCTGAACCACATTAACACTTTAATTTCCATGGCCATCCAGCCCCACTCTCCTTTTTCAATAAGACCTCTTCTTCCTTGGCTGTGTGACAGTGAAAGATTATTGTTAATAGAAGGGTTTCCTGTTTCCCTTGCCATATATTCATGTTCTTAAATATAGTTATAGGTACTTTCACATTCAGCTTCTACTTAATCCTATAAAAATGTGCTTATGCAGAAAGCGAAGGGGAATTGTGCGAGATAATTATTACCTTCAAGTTTTCAGCAGAGAAACGAAATCTGTCTTCTGCTTTAGCAGATACGAAACTTCTACCACAGATTCATTTGAAGATTCCCTTTCCCAGGGAGCAACCAAGAAGAAGCTGCCTGAGCAGGAGCTCCACGAGGCATCAGAAAAACTGTCTCGCAGGCTCAACGAGCTGGATTTGGTAAGTGAAATCTCCCTCTTGGGCTGAACAACCTGGCTTTAGTCATGGCAGTGGAGACAACAGGAGTATGAATTTAACACCCATGAAAATCCACACCTAACACTGCCTTTAGTTTATTCTAAATTTACAAACTGTCTGTTCAACCTGACCCCTCCTCAAAAAAATCTGTCCCGTAGATGTTAAAGAGAGCTTTGGGGGAGTGCAGCAGAGAAGAGCTGCCAGATGAAGACAACCTGTCCCAGCACAGTGACAGTGTCATGGACTATGGGCACAGGACAGCTGGGAGAGGTAACCATTGATGCCAATGAAGAATTGGGATGTAAAGCTGACACAATGAATTACTCAGAGTTAATTACTAAGTTTTGTGTTGTCAGTTCACTTATGTTTGGTCTCTGATCCAAACCTGAGCAACAATAACAGAATTACAACTAAATTCTTATTTAACACTTAAATAGCTGTGGCAAAACAGCACCAAAAATCCGAGGCAGGCAGAGTTAAAAAGTGTACACAAAGCGGGGCAGGGCAGGAACAGAAGCTCCCAGGGCTGGGGTTCTGAAATGAGGGCCTGGGCACAGTGCACCTCACTGCTTTTTTTGTCTCAAATTAGCTCCAAGGTTCCCAAGCAGACCACGATCCCTTTCTCCACCCTCCCACTTTTATCAGCATCAGGAAGATAAACTGTGTGGTAATGAACACATAAAGACAATCCGCTGCCAGCTGCAAAAAGAGAGGGACGAAAGAACAAGAAAAGCAAAGGTAATTTCTGGGTGAGACTTTGTGGGAATTCTTACCAACAGTTATGGTAAACTCATGAAAAATGATCTTACTTAATGGAGGATCTGGCCTCCTTTAGTCATCATGTGCTGTTGTGTCTGTGCCTGCTGAGGAAGAGACTTTAAACCCCAAATTTTGCAAAAAAAAAAAGAGTTTAAAGTGGAAGAAGCTCCTTTGACCCACACAGCAAACAAGTTAATGAGGTGGTTGTATGGACTGATTATTTCCTCTGGCAGGTCCTTCTGTTTTTATTTTCTAGATTGTCAATAAAGCTTATGAAGATGAACTAAGGATTTATGAAGCCAGGGAGAGGCTTAGACTTTGCAAGCTCAGAGAAGTCCTCAAGGAAATTGTAGGTGATGCACTGTGGGGATTTTTGGTTGTGTTTTGTTTGGTTGTGGTTTTTTTTCCTTTTCAAATTTGTCTGGATGATCTGTGCAGGCACTTTTGGGTACAGAAACTCCTTGTAAGTTGTCACAGTTACAGCCCTGTGTGCTAATAAAGTAGTGACTTAGTTCAGTGCTGCAGAAGAGCTGAGGTTATGCAGTAATGAGATTTAACCTTTATTTGAACCCTGACCTGCATTTTGGTGAATTCTGGCCTTCTGGAGAATCCAGTGCAATATGTCCAAGTTCTCATTCTAAAGTTTCAAAGACATTTAAGCTCTGATGGCCAAACTCTGTTCTATCAGTCTTTCCCTTCTCATACCTGTTCTCCATCTGTTTTACATCTGCTCCTAAGGAACGAGAATACAAAGAAAACATCTTTAAAGAACCTCCAAAAGTGTCTCAGCCAGTGAAAGTTTATTCTAGAAAAACCACACCTTGGAATCCCAGATCCAGCCAGTGGATTCCAAAACGAGGGACCATGAAGCCAAAGCAAGCAGATCCAAGTAAGAACTGCAAAACTATCCTTGGTGGAAAACTGGCATCTTTTGAAAGCATGTGTTGAACTCCAAGAATAAAGGCACCAGGCCAACATATACCAGGCAGCTGCAGCATTTTCCCCTTCTCCTGACCTCTATATGTCTGGATTTTTGTTAGGGAAGATAATGCTCTAAGTAAATGTAAGCCATCACTGCACAATCAAACTGTGACCCATTTGCTACTTCCTTAAAATCCCTGGGATTATTTTCAGGGCTTGTTTCCATTACTGCTGCTCCTGTGCTTGTTCGACTCCAGTCTGAGCTCTCCTTCTGTTATTTTTCTGAGCTTGTATCAGGTTTAAAATTGGGCCTTTGGCTTGAGCTGAGCCACGTGCAGGTAATGGAGGAGGATCTGTCAGGGCCCTGCCATTGTGCTGGTAATGCTGCCACTGCTTTAGCTGGGCAAGTGATGCTCCAGGAGCAGCCAGGATGCAAATCCCAGGCTCACTTTTGGTAACCAGCACTGTGTGTGCTCATGGATCCCCTACACACCTGCATGTTCTCAGCTACATTGCCTGATATTTTCTTTTTCCAGTTTTTAAAGGGCATGTACTTGGTAAATACCCTTTTGTTTCATCTCCCCATCATCTTTTCCTGCCAGAAAGATCAAAGGTGTACTGGGAACGAGCTGGTTGCAAACCAGTTTATTTTGCACTTGTTTACTTGACCTGGATCTGTCATTGCTCCTGTGGTGTTGGCATTATTTGAAGTTGCTGCAACCAGAGAGAGAGGGACAGCTAAAAAAATCACTGATTAGTGATGGTCAGAACCAGATGAAGAAAAGAAGGGGATACCTGTCTCAACTGGATGTGGTGGTGGTGGTGGGAGGGAAATAAGACCTGAGCTCTAAAAGCAGTTCTTCAGAAAAAACAACAACAAAAGACTGGGATCAGTGTCTGCTGCTGGACTGGCAGGGTGATGTCATGTCCTGCTGGGCTCAGCCTGACACTGGAACAGCAGGGTGGGATTTTATATAGAACTCAACAGAAAACATTTCATAACTTAGCCTGGGCAAACTCACCACTAAATGCATTCTGCAGGAATTTATTGCTCACATCTGCCTTTACCTCACAGTGACAATAAGGGACAACGAGCTCCTGGTGAAGCTGCTGCAGGAGTTTCCCTCCCTGCACATCTCCCACCGCACCCTGAACAAAATGTGGGAGCGGCAGCTGGCACAAACAGAGCACCTGCAGGCAGCCCCTGCCAGAGCCAGACCAAAGCTCCTGAATGAGGTGAGCGTGCCCATCTCACCTGCTGGGTGCCAGCAGAACTCCTGGCACAGGGGCAGCAGCACGTGGGAAAGGCTGAGCTTGGGTAAACAGGGATGTGCAGATTGAGACATGTGGATTCAACTCATCAGCCACCGGAATGGAATGGTCCTGTTTTTGTACTGGTTTCTCTGGTACTGCTTGGGGTTGCCACTGCCTTTTTAAAAGCCCTTTATGGTTTCAAGTGCTACTTCTGAACAGTCTTTATTAGTTTAAAGGTTAGTTGTGAGATACAAAAGCAGATTAACTTCTGGTAACTCTCAACATAACCAAAACACAGCAGAGGGGCAATGTTTAAACCTCCAGTATACAACAGCTTGTCCTGCAGAATGATGGAAGTAATCAGCTTTCTTTTTTTTTTTTTTTTTTAAACCTCCAGGTTCAACAAGCCCTGAGGAAGCATGAGCTTCTTGCTGCAATTATTAAAAAGGACCAAGAGCACAGCAAGAGACTGGTACGTTCTTTGGAGGGTATTTGTCATATTGTACGTTCACACTGAGCTACCTGGAATGCACATTCCTCGGTCAGAAAAGTGGCTTTTTTTCTTAGGACAGTTTTAAGACTTTTGAGCAGCTGGGGTCTCAAATGCCCTATGATGTTTGTTGTGTGCCTGCTGGGGTCATGGGAGTGGAGTAGTATTTTTATGACACTGCAGTGCTGCTTTAAAAGGTCCAACTCTAGAACTGTGCAAGGAGAGCCTTCAGGCTCTGGGTGCTGCAGCTCCCACTGCACCGCTGACTCCAAAATTCTCAACCATGCCCCATCAGCAGTGACTAAAGCTTTAAACCCCAACTGCAGGGTACAACTGGGCTGTTGGGCAAGAACCTTAATCAATCAGCAAGGATTGACAAAGCAATACCTGTCGGCAGTTTGGTCTTAACAGCTGCTCGTTCTCCTTTCAGCAAGAATTCAAGACCCGCATCTCCCGGCAGAAATGGGCTCAGAACAAAGTGACCGAGAAGCGGCAGCAGGTGGCTCGAGCCAGGAGGTACTATGAGGATTACAGGGTGCAGCTGAGGGCCAAGCTGATGAGAGCCAGGACACGGGAGGAGAAGGTAAGGACAAGATTCCTGCTCTGCAAGGCTGCAGTTCTCGGTGTTTGCACCCCAGTGCTGGGCACCCCTCGTCCGGCAGCTCAGCTGATCCCACAAGTAGAGAGAGCAAGGGCAGTGACAGGAGCAGGGCCAGGATGAAGTGGTTGGTCAGTCAGTGATGAGACAGTTCCTTCTCTGGAAACATGGATACAGTGTAGGGCAAATCCTTGTGGAACAAGAAAAGCTGCTTGGGGTTAAAAGGAGAGGGAAGGTGAAGTATTAGTATGGAAAAACGGGGCTGGTAACGTGAGAAATTGGGGAAATGAGTTTTCAGAAACAGTAGGATTAAGAAGTTGTTCCTGTAGTTAATATCCAAAGAAAATAATCTAAATCTTCAGTTAAGATGATGATCAAACCTCAACTTTGTTATTCAGTTGTGTTTGTTAAACAAAGTGGACTTTGTGCCAGATATGATCTCTAATTAGGGCTGGACATCAGAGAGAAGGAAAGCAAGGAGAGCTGTTAGACTTTGCAAGAGCAGATACACAAATGTCACCTTCGAAAAGAAAAGATGAGAAGTTTAGTGCCTAATCCACTGTTAGTGATTTGGGAACTGTTTGCCTCAAGCTGTGAGCTACAGCTGGTAAATGTTCTTGTGTAGAAATGGAAAGCCTGAGTCCAGGCTGGATTTCCTGCTGCTGGAAATCTGGATGAAGGTCCTGAAATCAGACTCAGAGTGCAGGGTGGGCTGTAAATCACAGTGCATGTTCAAAGGCCCTGGCTTGTGCTGTCGGGTCATATGACATGAATAAATGATTTTATCTCCCAGAATTTCAGCTAAATGAGTAATACAAACCCAGCTCAGCTGCATCTGCACCACCATCCCCAGCTGCACAACCTGGGCAGTGGCCTCTCCTCATGCCCTTGCAGCAGGAGATGCAGCAGCTGAAACGTGTAAACACAGACTTACAAGTTTCTGGGAGAGTTTCAGGTTTGCTTTTCTTCACTGCTGGCAGATCTTTAAAAGTTTATTTGAAGAAGGTTTAGAAATTCAGAAGCAAAGACTGAGGGACCTGAGGGCGTACGCTCAGGAGAAGCGCGATGAGCAACGGCGAGAGCACCAGAACGAGCTGGAGTCCATGGAGAACTACTACAAGGGTCAGGTAAAGCTTCATCTGCCTCACACAGCTCCTGTTTTTACCCTAGAAGTCTTTTCTTTAATTGCTTCAGCTGACACATGTGTTCTCTCAGTTTGCCATGCTGGCAGAAGCACTGTCTCAAGAATTCCAGCAAATCCAAACCAGAGAGAAAGCACAAGCACAGGTAAGTCCTCTTCATTCTGCCTCCTTGTGTTTTCTTTTCACCTGCTGGGGCTGATGGCAGGGCTTTTTTTTAGATGCTACAGAAATCCAAAAGGGAACTGAGATCAAAGATGGAGAAGGAAATCCAGCAGCTGCAAGCAGCAATCATGCACAACGACGACGACACCTTTTTCCAAGAACTCGAAGCAGACAGACTGAGATCCAGACTGCAGATGGCTTCCTTCCAGTACAGCCAAGGCCACTTCTTGTAAGACTTAGGTAAATGTCACTGGCTGAGAGGATGAGATCTCTGATGGCTGCTGTAATGGGAAGATGGTGTGTGGCTGGTTTTTTTTTTACTCCAGAACATTTGCTCTGTCATTTTGACCTGTCAGGGGTGTAGCTGCTGGGAACTGGGATCCCCACAGCACTTTTATGATCACCAATAAAGTTTTTGAAGTACTTTCTACCTTCTTAGCAAGGCTGGGATAAATGTTGAGCTCTACACCCACAGGAAGTGGGATGAAGTCAGAGAGCTTTATCCTGGTGGAACAGTTGGATGCTGGGGCTGTTGTTGCTCAGCCACACTAACACCATTAGCCAGAAATTACTGGATTGGAAAGCTCACAAAGAACAAGAAGATCTTAAAAAGAACATCAGAAGTTCAAGTTTCCTGTGAAAGGCCAAGTCAGAGAATGGCTGCAATAAACCTGACATCAAAAATCAGGAATTCAGATACACCAAGCAAGGCAGGACTGACAACTTATTCCATGAGCTCTTCCCTTCATTCTGTGTTTGCAGGGTTGGGCTTCCTGGCCTGTACAACATAAAGGCACATAAAATACTCCCCCAATGCTACAAATGCATTGGGAAAAGTGGTTTGAAATGGAAAACAGTGAAGGTTCCTCTAAAGCAGTAAAAGATGAGGTTCTGCAAGAGCTGGACCCTGGGAAGGAGCTGTGGCTGTTACTGATACAGTCTCTTCTGCCTGACAGAATTTAAACTGTTAATTAGTTCATCTTGGTAATGAGGATGAACTAAAGTTTAATTTTAACAGGCTCTAGTAGAAGAGTTCTTGCTCAGCCCTAGTGTGTGAGAAGTGATAGAATTATTAATTGCATTATACTTGATATTTGATGTCTCACAGAACTGACAACACACTCAGGGGATTCAGACTCATGCACTGAAAGGAAAAAGAACTAAACATGAAAAAAAAAGAAGCTTCTTTTACAGATTAAAGACACCAGCCAGCATGAGATACTTCAAAAATACAGACCCAAAAACCACACAGCAAAACCCAGAAACACAAACCCTTGACTTTTACAACCCTTTCCAGGGAGCTGCTTTAACCTGGCTGACTTGAAGCCTTTAAGTTGATGAAATTTAGCAAGTGTTTACCAAATTTACCTTTCTTTTTCCCCCTTAAGGAAGATGGTTTGCTGAGTTTTGAGAGGAGGCATCAAGATAAGGCCAGGACATGAGAGACAGGCAGAAGTAAAAGCTGCTGTGCTGGAGTAGAACATTCAGCAGAGCCCTTTCTGTAGGTACCAAACTGGTAAAACCCCCTCACAGCACATGGACAGACACCAAGTTTGAAGTGTTTTCTCCCGAAACAAAGTCAAGTTACTTAAAAAAAAGAACATTTTCCATTTTAAAGATTTAATGAATAAAAAACTTGAGAACCTTTTAAAACCATTGATGCTGTGACAGTGCAAACAGCATACAATTTATTGCTCAACTTCTGCATGGGTACATACATTAAGTACTTAAAAACCATTTTATACAGATTGTTGTTGTCGTCGTTGTTGTTAAAGCTCATGTAACAGCTGGGTGAAAATACAATGATACCAACGCTAAAACACTCGGTAATAAATACAATGGCAATGAGAAACTAAGAACTGTCAGTCTGTGGAGGAGTAATTACACTTGGATAAACTAATTACAGCTACAGACAAAGCTCTGAGGGTGTGGCAGAGCCAGGACTTAACTACTTAGTGTGAAGTACAACCTGGGAAGTGTGCTGTTTCAGACCCAAAGCCATCAGAACCTGCTACATCCAGCTGGAGGGTGACAGAGAAGCAAAGCTTTGACTTCCATCACTGCAGCCAGTTCTCAAATGCACCAGGAGTTCAATCCAGATGTAGTGTTTGTTGGAGAACAGCAATTTAAAAAAAAAAAAAAAAAAAAAAGTGTGCTCTGGACTTTAGTACAACACAAAAAAAAAATTTTGGTACAAATAAATCAGTTTAGGGAAACTGAAACTATGTGCAAAAAAAAAAAATTAGAATACATACTGTACAAAGCACCATTACAAAACTCTTTACACCGAGAAATTAAATCCTCTGAAACTCAACTGTGTAATATTTGAAATCTACAAAAAGTCACTGTTCATAATTAAACATTCATCATGAAAAGCAACAGCATAAAACCATGATGTGACATCTCTCTAAAACAACTAAAGACTGGATAAAGTAAAAACCCAGTAAGAGGGACACATTGAAATAAATATTCACATTAATCATGGGGTGAAAGTCCAAGGTTAAAATGCAATATTAGGCTTAGCACCTTTTTTTGAGGGGAAAGGAGCTGACATGATCTCGAAACAAAATTTTGCAAAGGAATCAACCCTTTAGCACTTTCAGCTAAACATCTGGCTGGGTGATGAGGTGCTTCAGTTAAAGCTCTCAGACTTTATGAAGGTAGAAAGGCACTCAAAAGAATGTGGTATATTCATCCTCATCTGTCAGCTGTGGAAAGTCCAATGGAGATTTGTCTAGCTTTGCCTAAAATATATTAAATTTAAAATATTTATATCTGTGGCAGTTCAAAAAAAAAAAACACAAAAAAATTCTCTGTGCCGTAAGAAAACGTTTGGTAGAAAAAAACCAGACGTTGCTGCTAAGGCTGCTGTGAAAATGGGCTGGGGGGGTTGGTTTGCAGAGCTCATCTCCTGCCTCCTCACAAAGGCATCAGTAAACCCACCAGGCTGGGCGGGCTCAGGGGACACTGCAGGGCCAGGGCTGGGCTGAGTTATCCCCACAAATCCCCTGAGTGGCCCCACAGGGCCCTGAGCCCTCCCAGGAGCTGCAGCAGAGCAGATTTGACACCTGCCATGACGTCCCTCTCGTGGCCAGGGAGCAGCAAGAGCAGGGGAAAGAAAACCAAAGCTCACTCCTGCAGCGCTGGAGGGTCCTGGGAAGAGGGGGCACAGGGACATGGCCCTGGAAAATCCCTGTCAGCAGCGACCCCATCACACCCAGGCACGTGCAGGGGGTGTGGAGGCTCTGGGAGGGTCTGTCTGGAGCTTGTTCCCAACCAGGGGCAGAGTTCTGAGTGAGGAACTGAGCAACCACCACCTGCTTTGCCCTCCCAGGCCCTGCACCGACACAGCAGCAGCTTCCCTGCTCCCAGAATTACCTGGAAGTGGCGAAGTAGGGAGCCCAACGTGGATGCCAAAGCACCACCAGCCCTTCAACAGGAGTGCAAGAGTCCCCTGACATTAAAACAAGGCTCTGATCTCCCTCAAACCTGGCTGTCAAACCCAGGCTCTTGGCTCTCTGCTCACATCCCTAAGCAGCCTCACCCCGCAGCCAGCCCGGAATGGGAAGCAAGTCCCTCCGAACAACCCAGCCAGCAACAGCTGTACAAAAACAATAACCCACTGAACATGTGGCTTTGGCTGCCCAGATCCTCACCACGAGTCTCCAAAAGCAGTCCCTTGCCCGCTGTTCCACTCCACAACCAGCAGAGCACTCACTGTGGCAGCCAAGCCTGGCAGGACAGAACTGAGCTCGAGCTCCACAGAACAAACAGAAAAGGAGCTGGTTCGTTGTGACCTCCACTGCCAAGATGGAACAGCTGCTTCCATCCCATCCCATCCCATCCCTTCTGCATCTCCAACACCTCTGCCCTTCCTCTCGTGGGCCGTGTAAAACCAGTGCAGATGTGACGGTGAATCGGAACCCGAGCTACGAAACCACAGCGCTGATTGGGAAAAAAAAACCCCTCTGCTTATTCCAAAACTGCTCCTGGCTGAGAGGAATGAGAATGGCTGGGAATGGCACCATCCCTCGAGCAGCCTCCTCCATCCACACACCACGAGCAGGTCAGACAGATCCTAACTGAGAATTTCCAAGCTAACAACATCCAAAGTTTAGTTCCCTCTACTGGTAGTGCATTTGATTCCCCTTCACAGAGCTCAACCCATGGCATAACTCACAGAAATCCTGACTTCCATCCCTACAATCAATAAATTATGTGCTCTCACCACCTCGTTCCCAAAGCACATGACACAGATTTCAGTCAATACACCGATTTTTCCTTAGTTGTAACTCCAAACCCACGTGTCCTGAGCAGCTGGACAAAGATTATAACGTGGTTTTTTTTTTTACCTGATAAATCTTTAGCATCGACAAACACAGAACATGATTTGGCTGCCTTCAAACAAACTTTGGTTGACTGCACAGGGTGGGTTCTGAAAGGAGCTTCTGCTCTTCAAAAGCTGAAAAAAATGCAGTGTTTCAAATTTAAAGTCAAAAGCAACGACAAAAAAAGAATACTCTCGACGGACTCGTTAGAAAAAAATGCCTTTTAAAAAAAAAAAAAAAAAAATCCAAACATCTACTGTTCATTAAAAAAGGTTATTCCACATGTTAACAGCAGGACTGCACAAACACAGCCTGTGTCACTCCCACTAGAAATTCTGCTGGAGGAATCTGGCAAGTGATATAAATAGGACCCCAAAACGTTCGGAATTCATGCTTGAAAAATATAAAAAAAGCCCCTTGTGGCACCATTTACCTTGAATTTACATTGCAGAATATAATGTTTCACTATAAGAAAACGCAGTTAACATGTAAGTGGCTTGAATTAAAAAGGTTAATGATTCTTTCAGCCAATTTTATGCAAAGTTAGAATAATCCAAAATATTTTTTTCCTTTTTTTTTTTTCTTTTTTTTTTTTCCAAAAATAGCAGGAATAGATGCTTGTTCAGTATCATACATTTAAAACAGGCTGAAACGTGACTTGTACCGACTGCTGAAGTTGTGTCTTGGTATCTGAGAATAGAAATCAGGTAGGCAAATATAATAGATTACCTCTTACAAAAATAGTAGTAGTCTTTAAGTATAGAATACTGCTTAACTGTTGAAATGTAGGAAAAGTCAGCATTCTGTATGTTCAAGATATTAGTTTTTAATAGCAGCTGAATGATCCTGTGGCAGGAACCACAGAACCCATTTTCTTGAAATAAAAAAATTAAAAAAAAAAAAAAAAATCTTTGAAAAAAAAAAAAAAATCCAAAGTTGTCCTTTCCCTCCCAGTGTCCTAATGTAGAAAAGGGAAAGTTTCCTGTATTTCAAGCATCTCTTGAGTCTTGGCTGAGGGAAGGAAGGGCTTGGTGGCTGACAGGAGTATAAATAGAGGTGGGAGAGGCTGGGCGGGGTCACTCCACGGCGAAGCCGCACGTCTCCTCGATGGCCGTCAGCAGCTTCTCGTAGAGCTTCTCGTAGCTCTCGTACGGGGGAATGTCGATCCTGTTGAAGCTGAGGGGGGGAACAGAGAGCAGTCAGCTGCCTGAGCTCCCAAAACCACCTGCAAAGGTTTCTGACACCTCATCCAACTGCAAACAGGGGCAGATGAAACACCGGCAGGTCGAGTTTCTCTGCCGCGTTAGGGACGGTTCCTGTCCCAAAAGGAGGGACAGTTCCTCTCCCAAAAGGAGGGACAGTGTATGTCCCAAAAGGAGGGGAGGACGGAGGGAAAAAAGGAGTAAGACTGCTCAAAATAAACAAGACAGCAGGTTGGTCTTCATCTACAGATCACAAGAGAGACCTGAAAGAGCCTTACCAGGTATGAGCTTTCGGTAAATTATTGGTGCTGGCGTCGATCTGGTGGATGGTGAAGAGCCGGGGGCCTGCAGCACCTGCAAGGCAGGACAGGAGAGCTCAGTGCTGGGAGGCACCTCATGAAATGTCTCTGTGGCCCTGCAGCAAAACACTGACAGGAGCTAAAACACTGACAGGAGCTAAAACACTGACAGAAGCTAAAACACTGACAGGAGCTAAAACACTGACAGGAGCTCTGCTCAAAGGAAGGTGAAGCCACAAACAGGCTTTAGGAAAACCCCAGACAAACTGCCAGTGGTGTGGGACACTCTGCCCTCTGCCCAGACAGTGATTTAAACCATGACAAGGTAAAGAACAAAGCCCTGATGAGAAGAATCAATCAAATGTTTCAATGCACAATATTAAGTTTTTAATTTAGGTTCTCTCACCCCTCCTAGGCAGCAAAACTTGCACAGCTGTACCTGTGCTTGTTTTATAACAGGTCCTGAACATCAGCCAATTCCACTGGAATTCCACAGAGGAGTCACAACACCAATTCCTCATAACTTTGTTAAATTTATCTGACTATTAGAGATCCCCTTAATCTCTCTGCTAAAGAAAGGAGACTGCAGCACAGCAATCCTTCAGGCCTGGAGATGCCACAAAGGACAGGAGAGGTTACAAATGCCCCAGCTTGAGCAGACAGACATTAAAAATACAATTCACAGGGTCTGTGTTTCTCAGGGAGACTCTGCTGTTAAATAAGAGTCTGAGCCTGTGCTGTGTGACTGCATTTCAGCCTGCAAGAAGACTGGTGGTGTTATCTGGTCTGTTGGAAGCAGGAGGTGTTATCTGGTCCCAGAGCTGGGCAGGTGATGTGGGCCTGTAAAACTCGGGAATTACAAAACCAGGCACGTGGAACAAACACAGTGAGAGCCCCCCTCAGCTGCTCAGAACTCCTGCCAGAAGAAGAAGAGCAGAACCGAAACAAAAGAGCCATTTACACCCCAACAACAAGGTACCAGATAGAGACACACAAACCAGGGCTGTTTGTGATTGCAATCAGAGCATTAAAATCACCCCCCGGCCCCATTTCCAGCGTGCCCGGGGTCACCTTGCAGTGCCTTGAAGCCCTGCAGGGGCACTCGGGAGGAGCCGGTCACGAACTGCAGCAGCCGCGCCCTCCTCTCCTCGTCAAAGAGCTCCACGGCTTTCCAGAACCATTTGACGATGTTGCTGTCGGGGGTGCAGTGTTTTAACCTGGTGTTCGCCTTCCAGTCGTTCACGTCGATTTTTCCCAGTCCACAGATGATGAGCTGGAAATTTTAAAGGGAATTATTAGAGTATTTCATGGCTGAGCGGTATAAAAACGGGTTTGGAGGCAGCCAAATGTTGAAGAACTGACTGGGAAAAACTGGCAGATTTTATACCTGTCACTCATCTTAAGCAATGCAGAAATACAACTTTTCTTGTTTTAATTTTACCTTTGTACATAAACTATTTTTGAAATGGCCTTAATTCAAATTAAAAAACAGCAACAAGCCAAACAGCCATTTCAAGCTCAAACAGAACTGCCTTGGCCTGTCAGTTAAATAACAGAAGCACAGATTCTACCCCGAGTGATAAATGCAGGGATAATTCCTATTTGAACTCAGTATTTCTGTCTGGAGAGCAGCTCAGGGTGTAGTTTGGCTGGTGCCACTCTGGATCCCCAAAGGAATCCTGTTCCTGTGACACCACCCAGGTGACACAGAGCAGCCTTTCCTGACAGAGCTTTCGGTGCTCCTGGAGATCCACAACGGATCAGGTTCAACTCAGCAGGGATGTGACTGGAATTCTGAAGACATTTTCTTGTGATTAAGGACATTGGACCTTCCCCTTTCCAGGGAACAGAAGCACCAGTGAATAATTTACCTGTGGCCACTTTACATGGCCAAACTCTCAGCTCCACAGCTGGCAGACTGAGATGAGATTCCAGTTGAAAGCAAGCTTGGGATCTGTGGATTTGCCTTCAGAGGATATTGTTTAGATGCCAATCCTGACATTTTGAAGCACAGTTGTCTGTGACAGCACCTTTCCTTCTGCTGGATTTACAGGGCCAGACCTCAGCTCTTGCCCTCCCTGTGGGAGCACACCTGGAGCCCTGGGAGCACTGGGAACTCAGCTCTGGGCTTCTCAGGCTCTCACTGTTCCACTTGATGACACAACATCGTGCACTGACCTCCAACTCCTTCTCATCAAATGTCTTCAGCAGATGTTGGGGGATTACTTCATTAAATCCCTTCTGCAGCGCCAGGAACTGCGCCTCAATTCCTCGTAAAAACCGCCAGTTCACGTAAAGTCTGGGAAAAAGCGCAAATTGGGCTTGGGGAAGATGTTTCAAAGGCAAGAAACCTGCAGCTTATCCAGCCCCAAAAAACTGGCCTTGCTGGCAGGATGACACACTCCAGCACTGCCCAAGCCCTCAGGAGAAACCACCAACAACCCAACACCGACAGTCACCGCAACAAGTACAATTCCTCCCCACCACAGGAAAAACTAAAAAAAAAACCCAAACTAGAGAAAGCCCCTACTGTACCTGACATATTCCTTTTTGTTCTCCTCTGTGACGGGGATGCTCTTCCCGTTGGGTTTGAGCTCGTGCTGGATGATCTCCCCGTACGCGTTGTGCTCCACGCAGAACGTGTGGTCCAGCACGCCCGTGATGTCGTTCTCACTGGGGGCAAGGAATGAATAAAAACATGTTCAGCAAGTAATTCACAGCCATAACCCATCTGACAGGAGAACAGTTTCATTTTTCAATGGCATTTCAAAGCACTACAGGGGAACACACAGGTTTCTTCTATGTTGTATTTTACTAATATGTTACTCGATGTTATATTTTATTAACATGTTACTCTATGTTATATTCTCAAACCATGTTACTGTTATTAAAATATAACATGTTTTATAATGGCAAAATTAGTAACAGGTAACATTAATGCATTAAAATTTATCAACTCCCCTCCTGCCCCCGCCCCCATTTGAATGCCCTGATCATTTTTTAGCCTTAAAGAAGCTGAATTGTGCAAGAAAGATATTTCTTAACTCTGCCTGGGCAGGAGATTTAAAACACATTTCATTTCCACTGGATTTAGGACCACATAACTGAGAAAGCATTCCAACACCCTGAGGGTCACTGCAGGGTACATACAGTATCCAGACTAAGCTGTTGTGAAGATCAGGGTCGACCAATTCCATGTCATCCAAAGTAATTGGCTTCCCAAGCAACTGCTTGTAGAAAGGCAACGTGAAGCCGCCGTCGATGTAGTGCCCGTGGAACACGGCCATGCCCATGATCCGGCCCACGAAGTGGAAATAGGACAGGTGCTCCTGGAAGGGACAGCGGGGACAAAGTCAGAACTCCAGGTCACGGCTGCTGAGTGGGAGATAAAATTTCAACACAAAGAAAAGAAGGGAAAAAAACCCAACCCCAACGCCAGTGCAGAGCGTTTGGGTCCAGAAATCTGAGCAGTAAGGATGGGAACAGCCCCGACCCCCCGGTCCCAGCACAGGCCCCGCCGTACCGGGTTGACGGCGGAGTCGGGGTTGATCTGCAGGGTGTAAATGTCATCTCGGGAATACTGGAAGAGCCCGTAATATGGATTCAGCATCTCATGGGACAACAGGTAGAGCCACTCCCTGGAGGAAAGAAAACCATCTGTCGGTACTTTGGAGACAAATGGATTCCCACACTGAGAATCTCTGCAACACAGTCTGATTCTTTTCATCTTCAGCAGATGTGAAGGAAGTTATCTCTGAACAGGCTGAGATAAGGCTGAAATCACAACTGTTTTTACTGGTTCAGTAACCACCCAGCCCCTGACAGCTGATGGATTTGCCAGCTTTCCGAGATTTTTCTCCAGGTTACTCATTCCCAAGAGTTCCTGACTGTGATTCTCCTTCACCAAGACACCACGAACTCACTTGACCATATTACAGAGATTTCAGAATCAAACCTTTTCCTAGAAACCATCTTTAGGTAATAAATGCATTTGGTTCAAGTTTTAATGACGTGATCACAAATAATGGTCTGAGAATTGGGAATGTCACTTTTTATAACTGAGAAATAACCTCAGACTATTGGCAGACGATTGCCCACCAACTGCTGGTTTTTAACATTTTGCCTCAATTTGCAAAAAACCTTATTTTTTGGTTAAAGTTGTTCCACAAATCCATTTAGTGGTGTAAATTCTCAGACACCCAAACTTTACTAACCAAAACCAGTAATTTCAACAGACACCAAAACCTGTCTCACAGATGGGATCTGTAACTTGTGTTTTATTTTCAGTAAATTAGTGCTTTTTTGATGCAGTTTTTCTTTTAAAGACAATCTAAAGCTATATATCCCTCTGAAATACAGTCTGTTAGAGAAATAAATATAAATAAGGATAATTTCAAAGGGGCAGGGCTGGTTTGGGGTTCAAAGCACAGGAGTTGTCAGCAGGGTTGGGGTGCAGGGAAGAGGCAGAGGAGTGACCTGTGACCTCACCTGGCAACTCCTCCATAATCAAGGCCTTCCTCCCCACGGAATTTGATCATTAATCGTTTCCACAGGTCTTTGGGCCTCATCTTCATGACTTGCCTGTAGGATTCCTGTAAACACACAACACTGCCTTTGATTAAACTGCCCCTTACAGACTGCTGTGCACTGGGAGTGAAGGGATCAGAGGATCAGAGTCTGAAGGGGATCCTGTTAAAAGGGACATTATTTTCCTAAATACCAACCAGTTCCTCAAATCACAGATTGTTGCTTCATTTTCTACAAGTGTGATAACATCTGACAGTATAATTTTCAAATAAAACAGAGAGATGGGGAGATCCACCCCCTGTTAAACATCCAGAGGTGAGCAGTGAGCAGAACGTCCCCTCTCTCATTCTCACATAACTTATAAAAAAATTAAAATCCAAGTCAGTGACCTCCTTTTGTTTTGCATAAAGGTTGGTAATTTTTGCAGCCTGAAGAGCAACAGAGGAGCTTCTGCTCTGGGCACAACACACGTGCCAACCATCAGGAAGCACCTTCAGAACAGAAGCAGCAATGCCATCCCTGGAAATACAGAATTACTCCTCTATCAGTAAGAGCTCAAGAAAACACAGAAACAACGCTGAGAGGCAGAACAAATGCCAATTTTTAAAAAGGAATTAAACAAAAGAAAAGCTGAGTTCTTATTTATATCCAGTATCAGCCCCAATGAGTGGCTTCCTCGGTCCCTGCCACAGGCTCAGCATCTCCAGCCACAGAGAAAATCTCCTCGATTTTCTCCTTCTCCATAGGGTAAATACATACTTTGTAGACAAATGCATTCCTACACTGAGAATCTTCTCAACAGAGTCTGATTTTTTTAATCTTAAATGCAAGTGTGAAGGAAGTCATCTCTGAACAGGCTGAGATAAGGCTGAAATCAGAGTAATTCTCTACTGGCTCAGTAACCACCCAGCACCTGACAGCTGATGGATTTGCCAGCTTTCCAAGCTTTTTCTCCAGGTCACTTATTTAAATTTAAATTTACTTTAATTACACCACTGTCTTGACACCCCCTTGAAATGCTTCCTCTTCCACAAAATCCCACCTTTAACCGCAGCCTTGGCGATTCCACCCGAGCAAACGCTCCCGACAACCCCTCCTGCCCTTCCCTCGGCCTCACCAAACGGGCCCAGAATCCCCAATTACCTCAAAAATCTCCTCCCTGGAGACCTCGATGCGACAGTGGCCGGCCTGGGGCTGCTGCTGGGACAGCTCCTGCCTCAGGATCTTCAGCTTCTGCACCAGGTCCCGCTTGTAGCGCGGCACCGTCAGGCACTCGGCCTCGTCCGGGAGCTGGCACAGCGACACCACCTGCTGCTGCTGCTGGTGCTGCTGGTCCTTCAGCTGGTTCTGCCGGCTGCAAACACACACACAGACACACCCAGTTCACACCCCTCCTCTCTCAGAGGTCGAGGTTTGTATCTGAACACTTCCGATTTGCTGGGATTGTTAACGGTGATTGCACTAAAAACGTTCCGAATCGATTCCGAGGGATTTGTATCCCGACTGAAGACCTGCAGTTCTGTCCTTCTTGGCAACCAGCAGTTGTTTTCAGTTGTTATTTCTCTTAGTGCTACTCTGCAGAGTATGTAAAAGGTTGCAGCACAGACAATAAGGCATTATCCATACAATTCCACTGCTGAGCTGCTGACACCGAATTTCTCAGAGACGGTTTCCACATTTCCTTCGCGTGTTTTTCCCTTCCTCCATTTTAAAAACTCAGGGATCTGCCAAAACACTCTGCCTCTAATCTCCAGTCAATACCATCGTCTGTTTTACATGGCTTGTCTGGAAAAGAGCGAGCTCACAAAAAGATGTTTGTACTGGCAGCTTGGCAAGGACCTTGTCCCTTGTACCTGGCCTAGTCTGGACCACAGGAATGTGGGAGTTCACATGGAACTCATTGGCACAGATAAACAAGTATTTTTACTAGCAATTCCAAGAGATTTTGTAAATCTGACTTCTTACTAGGAAAAGTAAATGGATCATGTTGCAGAGAGATGTGCTCTCTGTGTCTTGCACGCAGCCAGTGGATATTTTTACAGTTCTTAGTGTGGCAATCCCAAACAACACAGGATAAAACCTCTGTTCTCCCTAAATAAATCTGGGTGGAGCACATGAGAACACCTTAAATCTACTGGATAAATCAGAAGTGTTACAATTCAGAATGCTCTCCAGTGGAACGTTATTTTTTTTTCCCAACAGAGCCCAAAAAATATTAGATGGAACCAAACAGTTTGAATGTATTTTATAATTTCAGCCTATTGTCTGTTTTGAAACAAGGCCTAGTTAAAAGCTCTCCCGGCCAACCAAAATTCACCTCCAGCCTGGCAATAACAACACTTCCTTATTCCTGAGCTCTAAGGAGGGAATAACACACTGAAAATCCTGCTTTGTTACCACGTCCTGGGATGCAGAACTTCAGGAGTCAGCTCAGTGTTGTTATTTTCAGTGTTCTGTTTGCTCCTGGAGTTGTGTTTTTACATAAGGCTACCTTAACTTTATTTGCAAAGCTGATTACACTGGTCTGACAGTGAACTGCAGTTATTTTATTTCCTGAAAAACCAAGTCATTCCAATAATTTAGAGACACACACTGGCTGTGGTTCCAGAATGTGGCTCTGTGTCATTTCTGCATGGCAATGTTCACTTGGAGTAAGGTTTAAATATGAATCTCGTTTGAACTGCATTTACTTGATAGACAAATTAAAGCAAAATCTTTATTCTGTGTTCTGAACTTTCTAATTCCACAGGGAGGAATATGGGAAAATATTCCAAGTACTTCCCAAAAATAAGGAAGTACAAGGAGGAGAAAAATAAAATGCCATCCTCCATATTGGACTACAAATAATCAGTGCAGTATTAGCTAAACAATCTGCAGTGCTTAAAATCATTAAAGCTCATTTCTCAGTTTGTTTGCACAGCTGAATGACTTTGCTCCATTCCATACAGTGCTTTAAGGATACAACTAAACACTTTTCAGGTGCCACAACTATCAAAATCCATCACAGCCTCTCGGTCAATATTTTAAAACAGAACTGGGTAACAAGTTTGATTATTTTCATAACTTACAGTGTCATCACTGGAAGAACAAAGGGCTTTGCTCAGCTCAGCAGAAAAGTCGGTACCACTGAGAGTAAACTTCTTCTCAGGCCTTTCAACCTAAAACACCATCCCACCCATCCCACCCAAACACTGAATTACAGTCTCAAAAAATTGACAAAATGTCAGGCCCGAGGCAAATTCCTTTTGTTGTTGTGGTGGTTGTTTTTTTAAAGAACAAACAAGGAGGTGGGCTTAAGGCAGGGGAAGCTTTCACACATATCCTGTTTGGTGCAATAACAGAATAAACACCCCAGATGATTTATCAGGCAGCAGACTCTGCTGATGACACCGCTGGGTGAGTTTCTGAAATCCTCCCCTAATGAAAGACAGATGGACAAATGAAAAACTTCAGGCCACTGCAGGAGCACTGGAAGTTTAAATAAATGCAAAACGGTTCTGTGAGTCTGGAAATGAAAAGTCAAATTGGGTTTTGCAGCTGAAAAGGCAGCTCTGTATCTGTCCTCCACCATCCAGGTACAATTGGCCACTGTAACCCTTCTGCCATCTCCAAATGAACCTGCCTGGGAAGTTTGGCAAATACAGCCCAGCTGGCTGAATTTCCCATAGTTTAAGAACAGCACTGCTGTAATACGAGGGGCTGAAGATTTCTTCAAGTAAAATATCTAAATTCGAATTGATTTAAGGAACTTTTCTACCTTTCAAACATGAACATGCTCCTCCACTGGTTAAGTTTTTTTTCAAGATCACGTTCATTTCAAACCTGGATTAAACTAAAATTAGTAGTGATTTCTTTGTTTGAAATAAAAAATTTGCCAAAGTGTCTGGATGATGGCATCTTACTGAAGTCCTGTAACAGAAACCTACACAACCACTGATTTCTCTAAACAAAAACACCTACTGGTCAATATTTAGACTCTTCCCCCTCTCGGGGTGGGAAGTCCAAGTGTATATTGGGCAAAGGCCAGACAGCTTTTGTGTAATGCACACAGGACATGCTGACTCCTGGGTATGACTTTCCATTCCTCCGTTTTGTCTTTTCAGTGCCTGTTCCCATTATTCTTTCCTCCAGCTTTTCTTGCCAATGATTCACTTCCTTAAAGGACTATTCCTCCTACTTGCTCCTTGCCCAGGGCTTTCCCTGGAACCGGCTCTTCATTGTTTCTTCCACTTAACACCCACTCAACACTTTACAGGTGTTTCCCAAGAGTATTAAAAAGGTGTCAGCAGGAGAAACAAAAGAGTCCAACTCCCAAATAGCCACGTCTGGGCGAAAAGAGAAGTGTTTGTTTCTTTTTGCTTTCCATTTTTAGTAGAAAATCCCCACTGCGCAACGAGTGCCGAGGGAATAAAACAAGAGCCAGAATTCTTTTGAGTTTCCCCTTCTCTTTTGAAAACTGCGATATGAAAATGTGATATCGAACCACTAAGGCAGGAAAAAAATGCAGTGCCTATTCTATTTTAGAATAAAATAATAAAAAAAAACCAACCACGATTTAAACTGTTGGGGTCTTATTCTGAGACCATCTCAACCAGGCCTGCTCTGACACTGAAGGGAGGAGTGAATTATTCCAGGATAGTTGGGTAGTTGTGCACCAAGTCATCAGCATTTCACACCACTGGCTCACAAGCAACTTCATATTTTAAAACAAGTTATCCACAACTGAAACAGAAGGAAGTATAGAGAAACTGCAATAAAGGAAACAAAGTGTCCCTCTTGTTGTCAGGAAAACAAAAAGTCCACGGGCCAAGGTTTCCAACCGGCCAGCACTCGCTTCCCTCCCCCTCTGCATCCCACCGGCCACATTCCTGCCTAAACGCTCCTTGGAGTTTATTTTCAAGAGCAACCAAACTGGTCTTTGCGAACACTCCTTAAATCGCCCTAAATGAATGAATTCTCCTTCCCTCTGTGCACTCAACTCGTGCCAGAGATTTCAGACCCAGCTTCGGGCTCGACACTCACTTTAGGACCAAGTGCAGGTTCGCGGAGAGCCGCGGGTCTGTGAACTGCGTCGTCCTGTTGTTATGGTCAACAAAATAAACCCTGCCCGTGGCCGTGTTTCGGATCTCCCATCCAGGAGGCAGCGGCCCAAGCTCCTCACAATTGATGTTGCTAAGATCCCTGGGAAAACAAACAGAAAATGAAAAAATACCTCAGCAAATTGGCCTCCCAGCCCAGCGAGCGTAAACGCGACAGAACAATTCCGTGAAGTCTGAGAAAATGTATTGTTTCAGAAACTTGAGCTGTTCAGCTGGAATCTCTGCTCCCAAGGTGCAAGCCCACCACAGCACAAACACACACCCCAGAGCACATGCCGTGGGGGAAAAGAAAGTCCTTATCGAATAACCCTCTTTTTTACAAACCAGCTTCAGCTGTGAAATTAATACAGCCCTCGAACAAAAATAAAGGCCACTGCCACATTTGTCAAGATGGAATTGCACTTCTGCACCGGTCCTGACAGAAAGCAATTTAAAACAACCATTAGTCACGTAAGGAACTGTGAATCACACTTTGTAATAAAAACTCCTACGAAACAAAACTGTATTTCTGTAGAGTTCCAGTTTCCACGAAGAATTCCACATGGGATGGGTGTCTGTGGCGCTGGCAATTTTGCCCCCAAGCCCCAAGTGCTGGTGGGAAGCAAAGAGCTCTCTAACAAAGTATTTCAAATCAAGTATCATCTGAGCAATGACTCAGCTCTGCCCCAGGCAATGCAGAGGTGGCTCAGCAGGCCTCAAGAAACATTCTGCTGAAATTAGGAAGATGCAGATCCATTCCAGAGCTTCACTGAAAACAAACACCGGTCTCCAAAAATTATTCACGGACATAATTCACACCTCGGGTCCCTCACGCTGTCCAGGGCAGCTCTTTCCAAAGGTTCAGCTCTCCCAGAGTCCTGGGAGTTGAGGGAGGAAAGAGCCAAGGGACAGAATGGCTAAAAAGGTGCCACCTGCAGGGATTCCAGGGACTGAGGAGCCACTGATGGAAACAGGAGGCTCTGGGATTGAACTCCTGCTGCCATTCCCCATAAACACACTGCTGCTGGACCAGGGGGCTCACTTTTGTTGACTACATGATTGTGGCTATCAGCATAAAAACACAATATTCCTCAGAAATGACATCAATTCCACCCCCACGCCAACAGCCAAATTTTGTTCTCAGACACACTCACGCAGTTTGTGCTGCCACACCTCGGGGCAGAGCTCACTCAGGCTGCACACACAACTATCACACCCCAAACTTGGGGATTACATCTTCCAGCAGTTTTTGTCAGGGCCTGGTTTTGGATAATACACAAGTCACGGGCTTCCTAAGGCCCAGCTGCAGCCTCAGGTCTGCACATCAAAGCAAGGGATAACCTTGTAACACACACACAGTGACAAAAGAACAATTCCAAACACAAGGAAGTTGTGGTCATGAGGCATCTCAGCCTTCCTGGGACACCCCATTTCCCATTTCAGCAACTGTCAAAGTCCCTGCAGTTCTCACAAATGCCAGCACTGGCTGCCAGTTTCAAACCACACACATCTCACACCACCATCCACAGGCTTTGAGAGCCAAGTGTTTTCAGCAGGATTTCTTGGTTATTTAAAGAACAATCAGGAACTATCAACAATTTCCACTATTATCCTTTCAAACATGAGAAATAATCACATGTACAATCATGACCAATGTGTACATGTGTATCATGTAAATAAGGACAATCAATCAAAAAGACTTCGTAATTATCTTCTCCCAAGTGTTGGGAGAGCTGCAACAGGAAGAGCAGTTTGACTGTTTCAATCCAACCCAGATTTCACTGAAGTATCTTGATAAATCTAAATTTTTGGAAGTTCTCAGTTTCTACTTTTTGTTTCATTACTGGATTTGGAATCAATATGCAGAATCAGTGAACTCTACCTGCTTTCAAAACACCACTGTAATTTATTTTTTGATTTTCCCTCTCTGCATTAAAACAACAACTTGAAGAACCGAGGAAGAGACACTAATTGATTTAGATGAATGACTTGTTAAAATACTATGTTAAGGGCCAAGAATCAGAAATATAATATTAGACAGATGAGAGCAATACTTAAATGATTTTTATTTGAAACCTTTGGGGTACTTCCATTATTTCTTACCTGGGTACTCTTGGATCGTGCCACGTGCTGACACCAGTCTGAGTATGCAGAAAATAAACCTGGCCTTGCTGAGTCGTCCTTTGTTCTGTCAAGTCAACACAAAGTAAGAAAAGTAAGAACAAAAATGCAACATGAAAACTAATGAATTCATCAATAAGAACAAAAGATGCAACATGAAAACTCACAAAGACCAATTTCCCCAATCCAAGGAATCAAAACGATCTCACGTACAAGGAGAAGACACAACCCATTTTTCCAGTTTTCTGCAGACCCCTCCCAATAAAGAATTCTGATTTTCATACCATATCCTTCAGGTAGATCAGGAGGAGTGTGCAAGTGTGTCCTGCTCATGTAGTTCCTGTGCCTCTGGGAGCGGACTCTCCTCTCTGCCAGCCGGGGGTCTGACGCCTGCCCGCAGCTCGCGCCGTTGGTGCCCGTGATCGGAGTGTTCTCGTCCACAAAGCAGCTCAGTGGCCTGCCCGGGCTGGAGTACTCGGATGCCGGCCTGGGGAAGAGGGGAACACGGCACCCTGACTGGATGCGGGCCATGGGACGCCCCCTGCACCTCGGGGTTTCTCGGGAATGCTCTGAGGGAGCCGCTGCCGTGCCGAGCAGGACACCCTGACGGAGCAAAGCTGCTGGTCTGGGCCCACAGAGGAATCACTGAGAGTCACACAATGTGCTGGGTTGGAAGGACCCCCAAGGACCATCCAGTCCAACTCCTGGCCCTGCACAGGCCCGTCCCCAAGAGTCCCCCCCTGTGCCCCAGAGGATCATCCAAACCCTCCTGCAGCTCTGGCAGCCTTGGGGCTGCGCCCACTGCCCTGGGGAGCCTGGTCAGTGCCAACCACCCTCTGGGGGAAGAACCTTGTCCTGAGATCCAACCTAAACCTGCCCTGACACAATTTCAGGCCATTCCCTGGGGGCTGTCCCTGTCCCCCCAGAGCAGGGCTCAGTCCTGCCCCTCCTTTTCCCTCACCACAAGCTGTAACTGCACTGAGGTCTCCCCTCAGTCTCCTCTTCACCCCCAAACTCTCTCACCCTGCCTTCACGTGGCTCAGGAAGTGACCAGGCCTTGTTATTCCTTCTAGTTTTTAAGGAAGGTTATTAGAAGAGGATGCTGAAAAAGGGCTAGGCAAGAGAAAAAGCTGTTGCTCTTGAGAGCTCAGCTGCAAGAGGAAAACATCGACCTGTGTAATTTCATCTCTCAATGCTGCTCCCAAAAGGATTTAAAATGGGTTAAAGGATGATTGACAAGGTCACTTGAAATCCCCAAAACAAATTACATATTTTATATTTGTTTTTCTACTGTAAATGTGTTTGGAGCTTAGAATAGGTATTTTAACATACCAGGAAAAATAAAAATAGATAAATTAAAAAGCTGTTCAATCCCTTCACTCCAAAACTGCATGAGAGCTGGCAGTGTTAACAGTACAGATTATTTTAAGTCAAATATATCCATGCAGATTCCAGAATAATATCGAGAATGGAAAAGACACTCTGCAGGCAACAGAGAGTCTGCAAAATCTGCAATGACACTGCCTGCAATTCAGGGAACAGCAGAAGTGGTTTGAGGAACAGCTTCGCAAAACACATCTACAGCTACCAGAAAAGGTGACTGAAATGGTTTTCAAACATGCTCTGTTTGGATCAGCTCTAACTGTTCTGGATTACACGGTCATGGCGTGGACACAGGCAATGTCTCACAGCTACTCAGAAATGATCTCATTTCTTCAAGAAAACCAAAATGAAAGAAAATCAATTCAGAATGATCTTGTGAGTTAAATTATTAGGCAGACTGAAGGAGTAAGATGCTAAAGGAGGAAAGCATAACCTCGTGTAGAGCGACCTGGAGGAATGGCCAATAACCCCTGGAGTCACTCTAGTGCTCAGCAGCAAAACTCACCCCATCCTCAGTGTCCCCAAGAATCGCTCACCGTGTCGGTCGCTCCCACTGCGTCGTCCGCGTGATGTGATTTAAGTACTGGATCCTTCCAGAGGCAGTTCTGCGCTCCTCCCACCTGCATTCCAGCCACGGGGAGATAAGGCAGTGAGTGGCATTTCCAGGAAACCAGGGCACAAAATGTTTCCAACAGAAATGCCAGCTCAGGAAGACCTGCACTGTTCCGAATCACGGTGGCTGAAGGAGGTAACAGGAAACAACCGAAAGCTGAACTCCGAAATGATTGAACTGTTCTCCCCTCGGACCCAGGCACATCATTAACAACATCACACCTTCATGTTCCATAGCTGCTTGAGTTCTAACTAAATCCAAACAGCCACATAAAGGAACTTCTTGAAACCAGCACGTTTATTAATAATGCATTGAAGTTGTCCTGACCGCTGACTCCAACAAGTGTTTTCACGGCATCTTCATGCACCACTCGCTTTCATTAAAAAGTCACCTTCAAGTACTGTGACTTTTTAATTATTATTAATTTGGCACTCCAAAACACACGAGACTGGACGGGAAGCTTTGCAGTCACACGATTCAGTGAGCGATATTTATGGAAGGAACGTTTTGAAGTGAAGATTTGGAAGCATTTTCAAAAATGTTTTTGACTTATCTGGACTCCAAATTAACAAAAGAATGCTGTTTAGGGCTCAGATGCTAATCTGCATTTCAAAATTCATCATCTGAAACCTCGCTTTCTCCTGTCTTTACCTGCCAAGAATCCCATTCAGAAGGCCTGTGTTTGCTCTGAAGAAGCTGCTGACAGCACCAGAACCTAAACCAGAGCATTTCCCTGCGTCCTCCAAACTGTTTTAGGTGACAATGATGTCATTAACTGTCCCAGGGACAAACCAGAACCCCAAACCCAGCCTTGAGCAGGTAAATGCAGTGAGAACTCAGGCTGAGTGTAGACCTTTCCTGATCATGTTTTCTTCACTGTGATCCCCACGGAATAAGCTGTGACCCACGTTTATCACAGTGTATATCTGATAAACAGAAGGCAGCCAGGCCCTGTGACTGCTACGAAACTGCTACATGGATGAGCCAATCTGCTGCCTGGGATCTAACATTACATTAATTTCTCAATTTTAGAACTTGAAAGCCATGTTCTCTGAGTGCGTTTTTCAGTGCATTTGTTCACATGAGCCACGTCCCCATTCACTGACAACTCCTGTGTGTGTCCCAGCTGGCTTAGCCCCTGCTAAAAACTGCAAAACTGCACAACTCCCGGGGCAAGAATAAAAATAAAGTGATTTATTTGCACACTGCCTTCTCCTTTAGTGCAGAGGTGTGCTGGATGAGCTGTATTTGTGTTCACATCCCTGCTTACCCATCTGGCAAATCGTTGTCGAACAACCGACTGCAATCCACGACTTGTCCCCCAGTGCCTATCCGGTCCCTGGACTGGAGACTCACTGTTAAGAGAATAAAAGAATTATTAAAATGATGGCATCTGAATGCCAAATGACACAGTCACATTTGAAAGAGGATTGGTAGGACTTGGGAGGACTAAGCTGAGCCACGCTCTGGACGGTTTCTTCCTTCTCACACATCAAAGATGGTCAGACAAACAGAGGAGAGAATTCCATGTACGAGAACACACGTCTCCCTTCAAAAAATAAAGTTAGAAAATTAAAAATGAAAGACTATCAGTGGAAGTTAGGGCAGAAAAAGAAGTGAAATGTGAAGCTGTCATTAAGTTTTCTCCATAAGAGGTGGACTCTGACACTTTTGAGTGGTGGCAGGAGGGGCTTCAGGGCCAACAGGAGAACTGCTAAAATAAGGAATTCTCTCTGGTTTTGACTCCTTCTTACGTGTTTTGTGTGCCACGTCCACGCAAACACAGAACCCAGGCAAAATTTAACTGCTGGAAGCACTGCATGTCTGCTTTATTATTTCTAACACCAGCGGTAAGAAGTCAAATGCAACCCACACAAAGCACCCTGAAAAGCCCTGACTGCCCTCAGCAAAACTGCTTCACTTGGGTTTCGATTTAATTTTTATTTTTTTTTAACATGATTCATTGTAATGGATATTTATGCCTGAAGCTTTTGTACTGCAATTATGAAAACAAAGATTTATTTTTTAATTTTTTTTTTTTTAAGGCTGCCTTTGTTCCCAATATCACAATTTGCAAGTGTCCAATCTGATAATTTATGACACTGGTGTTCCTGCGGGGTTGGGGTGTGTTTTTCTGATGTTTTGTTATGCCTTTAACAATAAAACAATTGCTTACAAAGCTCAAGACGTGCTGTGGCCCACATTTCTTGAGGTGGCACTAACTCTGGACAACTGTCTTCAAGTCCTACTTACAAATGCAGTGAAATGACCTTAACCTGGATGAAACCAAACTTTGGGCAGGATCACAAAGCTTCAAAAACTGGAGATGTATTTATTCTGCAAGAACCCCACATATTACAGGTTCAGATAGCTGCATGTAGGCAAGCACTTGATTTGCAAGGTTATCATCTGCTGAAGGTATCAATTACATTTCAGTATTGTTTTCAAATCTTGCACAGTCTCTTAATTTAAGACAGTTTATCCTTTGAAGAACTGAGAGTATTATTTACAACTCATTCTACTTTCTTACTTATTTTTAACCTGGATTTCTCCCCCATCTAACCACTGCAGTGGAATTATCTAGTTTTACTCAGGCTCATTCACCCATTCCACAAAACTGCATTCATGAAGAAAGATTAAAATATAAGAAGATTAATAACGACAACTTAAATAAAACAAGACAGGAGTCCCTGGAATCTTCCCAAGGATGCATTAAATTAAAACAGAGCCATGACTGAGCAAAGCTGACCTTCCTGATGAGAACAGCAGGAAGCAGAACACACACCTTGGCTCTGGGTCTCTGCTGTAACCCCACAAGGTGCTTTTTTCTGGGTTCAGTGCCTGATCCAGCAGCTCCTGCTGCTCAGGGATCCCCACAGAGCCAGTGCTGCTCTGGCCACACCACCTTCTGTGGGCACAGCAGGTTAAGCCAACCTGTCAGTCCAGTCCATGCCCACAGTGCTGATTAGTTCTGTCACCAGTCCTCTCTCCCCAGTCCTCTCTCCCCAGTCCTCTCTCAAGTCTCTTGGCCATTTCTCACTGCAACAGCTTTGCCCCAGGCTTCCCATCTGCCATCCCAGCAGCCTTGAGCCCTTTCAGCTTTGGGGTGGGGTTTCTGGGTTGGTTTTTTCCTTTCCTGTGCAGAATGCCAGCATTTCCCAGCGCTGATGGCCAGGCTGTGTGTTCCATACTCTGGAGGGCAGCACGGGAGCACAGTCCCTGCTCCCAGCACAGCCTGGGCCAGCTCTCCTGTCAGCTGGGCTCAGCCCCCTTTCAAAAGCAACCCCCCCAAACAGAACCTCCCCCATCCACCCCCGATGCTCAGGGGACCAGAACACTGGAGCAAACCCAAAAAGCAAACCAAACCCACAACATAACACACCCTACAGGAGAGGCTGGTTTATCCTTCACCCTTCTGTGCAAGCTCACGTGGAAAATTAACACTCCAGAACAGCCTGAAGTGTCAGCAGTGCACTGACAATCCCACACTTCTACCAGCATTTCACTCTCCTGTGCCACCACACTCTTATCTTAATGCTGTGCATGAAAATTGACTTTGCCCCACGTCCAAATATTCTCATTAACACTCTGCTTTATAAAAATAAAGACCTTCCTTACCCTGACCAACTTTTGACTTCAGTGGCCCATTAAAAACACTTCACAAGGAACTGAGAATGCACCAGAACGTTTATGAAGTTTTTTGTGGATATTTGTTTTCCAATTTGCCACCTTCTTTCCAATTTTTAAGTTATGATTCACACAATGACAAAGCCCGGCTACTGAGGTTGGTGACAGACTTGTTAATAAGCCGTGAAAACACGAGATGAATTGACCAAGTCACCCCAGACAGCAATTCCCTCCTGTCACAGCAAGATGCTTCACCGTTTTCCAAGCAGCTCAGCTTTGCTGGAGCTCTCAGTGGCCAAGGATTTTTGCAGTCAGTTTTCCACGGGGAGTTCAGGCTCAAACTGTCCCCATTCTTTACAGTGAAATTAAAAACTTGAAATAGTTTTTTTTATTATCTATGGTCTTATTTGCCCCAACACTTCTTATAATATTTTTGGTTTGGTGTTTTGTTTTGTTGGTTGTTTGTGGGTTTTTTTTGGTGTGGTTTGAGCATTTTGGTTTGGATTTTGTGCCTTTTTTTTTTTTTTTTTAAATTCTCTTCATCCATACTTCCAAATGGCTCTGGCAGTAGACACTGAAGAATTCAACACAGAAAAATGACCTCTATTAAAAGATAAAAACCTTTACTTACCTACTATCTGTCCTCTGACAGTATCGTTGTCATTTGGCCCAAGCTTGCACAGATCCAACCTCTGATCTACAAAAGGGGGACACAAAGTGTAAATCACGAGCTACCAAAGCATAAAACCCATCAAAAACCCCATTAACTGTCACAGTCTGTACATGCAAGTTTGGTGGGAGAGAGAAGAAACGAGTCCTCAGCTTACTTACAACCAGTATCTTTGAGGCGGTTGATGGCGTTTGAGAGAAGCCTCACACAGCCCAGAAAACCAGCTCCCTGCTTTTTATGGATTTTCTTGTGATTCCACACACTGATTGTTATTGAATCCGACTTCCCAATGTACCTGAAAAACGGGGACAAACAGCCCTGTGAATGGCATTCACTGGATATTTGGGCAATGCTCCAGAAATCACCTTGGGGGCTTGGGGAGGGGGGGAAATTATCAACCACTCCATTCCAAATGTCACACAGGGCAAGAGAGAGCGAGTCATCTGCAGGTTAAGATGTACACCCCATACTCTGATGGAAGCATGTCTCATGAAGGAGCTCCCTGGAATACAGACTGAAAGCCTGGCTCTGGCAGGAGGCGTTCAGGTCACCCAAAGTCCGGGAAATCCGGATAAAACAGCGACACAGCAGGTTGAGGGCTGGCCCTGCCACAGCTCTCCAAGCAGCCACAAACATGCTCAGCCTCATGCCCCTGCTCAGCCCGGCCACAGGGGGTGATGGAATGCTGCTGGCAGCGGGGTCTGGGAGCAGGGGGAGCAGGGACAGCAGCCCAAACACCGGCACAGCAGCTCAGCATCCCCCTGCAGCTGCTCCTCCAACCCCCAGGAAAGCATCGCCCTCGCTCAGAGCCCTTCCCGGTACCCACACCCCCACCGGGGCCACATCTGCAGCCACCTGCAGAGTGCTGGGGGGCTGATTTACCAGGAGTAATGCATGCTGGTGACATGCATCACCCACCAGGAGCACGCCAAAAGGTTTTAGCTGAGATGTGCCACGTTTCCCCCTCGCCCCTGCTCATGTGGGGCTGACTCCTCGCAGCATTCCCACGGCAAAACCTGGCCCTGCATCCCACCGGCCTGGGAAAAACCTGGACACTGCAGGCTGGTTTATTTGTGCTTTTTTGTTGTTGTTGTTTGAAGCTTTTGTTCTTCAGAGGCAATTACGCCGTGAGTTTTTTGTTTTCAAAACTTCCAGAGGACAATTTCAAAACACTCCAGATAAATCAGCAATTGCCAATACCGAATTATTAGAGTTGTTTCAAGTTGAGGGAAATGAATTTGTAACTATGGCTTAGATCCCAAGAACTGCTTGTAGTTCTCCCTTCCCAGACCACAAATTCTGGCCTTACTTTAGTTCCAAGTGCTTATTTTTGTTTGTTTGTTTTCGGATGAAAAGCGATCAAACTCACTCAACCCATGTCTAAATACACCTCCCCATTGACTGTGGCTTTATTGGCTTGAAAGCATCTTAACATTTCCAGAAAGACAGAAATGATACTGTCAAGGTTGGCAAACCAAATCATTGAGCTAACTGTCGTGGCTTTAAAATTCCAGCTGTGACCAGGTTAACGCTTCTCCCATTTTCCCTTTTCCAACTCCATTTTTTCCCCCCACCTGCAGAGACGAACTGACCCAAGGAGACAGAAAAGCCTGAAGGTTTCAAACAACCCCTGCACGTTTAAACAACCACAATAACAAAAAAAAAAAAAAACAAACAAGCAAAACACAAACTTCATATTAAAAAAAAAAAAACCAAGTTTTTTGAATAGTGAACTGATTGCACAATATAGGTCAGATTTTTGGCCTCACAACCTTGACAATGCCAATTTTGCGTAAAGAAACGAGATGAGGATGGGGATTCACGTGCACAGTCGCAGTCTACAATGTTTTATGTACTTAAAATAAAGTCTTATGAGAACAAATCAGGTGCACTTTAAAAAAAACAGAGACTTATCATGACCTGTCTCGAATTTTCCAGTTTTCCTTGTTGCTTTAAGAAAGTCAAAGGTAGAGGGTTAAACACAATTTCATAACAAGAGCACTTTGAATAACACGTAGAACAGCTGAATATACAACACAGTTCCCAAGAATTCCCCTTTCAGGGTGAGGTTCCCTGGGCTGGGATGCAGGGAATTGCCATCCACACCAAGCAGGTGAGGATTCCACATCCTGCTACAACCTGCTCTGATTTTTGCATCCCAAAACCTGGCTGGTTCACAGATTTAAAAGGAAATAAGCGACACAAGCTGTGTTTTCCAAATAAAAATGGCTTATATATATATATATATATAAAGGAAGAAGAGAAATAGTTAAGTAACTTCTAGTTGGCTTTATAGCAAAATAATCTACATTTCTGCATAATTTCAGGCATGAAAACCCCTGGTTGCATTTAGAGAGCGACGGTAGGACAAGCTGACATTTCCAATTCGTTTGGTGGGTAGAGTTACATTTGTTTTACATCATCTGGCAATAAAGTTCCAACATAAAAGCCTCAGCTAGGAATTTGATTTTTGATTAAAAAAGAATGTTCCAAAAAAATAAAAGTGCAACGAACCAAACCAGAAACAAAAAACACCCCCCAATTCTGTTGGATGACTCTCTCTTCCTCCTCATAATTAAAGTTTTTGGAGCTTATTTTCCTTTTTTTTCCCCTCTGCCCTATCAGCAATTTCTATTTCACAGCTTTAGTGCTTCAACAGAGATAACAGGATTAGTATTAATGAAGTGGAAACACAGAAATTTAATTTCCATTGGCATTTTGCTAAGTTCCCTATTTTCTGAATCTGTAAAATTAGGGCTCTGGGTAAGAAATTTCAATTTCCCTGCTCTTGGCACTCACATTTCTAAAAGGGAAATATCAAGCACATGTCATCCTGGAAACCTTTTAAAAAATGTTTCTCCAGAAAGAGAGAAAAATGCCCCATCAACAGGTACGAACTCGGAGCTGGAAGCCAGGATTTCCCTATTTCTAATCCATCCCAATTTTTCCTCTTCTCTTTTCCCTCCCCCTCATCTCTGGCAGCAGCTGGAGGGTGTTGGAGCTCTGGGATGGGCACAGGAGAACCTGTGGCTTAGGCAGGAGCAGAAGGCAAAGCTGCTGCACTTGGAGCTGTTTGGTGGCTCTTTGGGAGTCTAATCCAGGAGCTGTTGCCTCCTCTCCCTGAGAAAATCCAGGATCATTAGCAATAACCAGGCAAAGTTGGAAAACTGGAGGGGGAAAAAAGCAATTGTGCCAGGGCAGCACAACAGCCCGAGGGTGTGAAGGCACCAGAGAGCACCAGAACCTGCAGTGAGGGGATTTTGGGAAGAGGAGGAGATAGAAGTGAAAGTTGGGTGAGGTTACACCTGAGAGGTATCACAAAGGAGAGCAACAAGTCCATGCTGGAGCCTGGGGGTGAGGGTTTGAAGGGCACAGAGGAGAGATGGGAGCAGGACTTGGTTTTGGTGATCATGGCACAGACACCTTTTAGAGGTAAATACATGATGTGGTGAGCTGGGAAGGCTGTAGGAGAGATCACTGAACAGCAGGGGAAGGAAGAGAAAAAGGGCATTTGTTCAGGTTCTGACCTGCTGGTTTAGGTAGTTTAGCTCTGAATGCAAGAACCTGGTTATTCCAAAGCTTTGAGGAAAGGCCTGAACACAACAGGGAAAACACAAACAGGACTGAAAAAAGGGAAGGGGAATTCATCCAGGGCAAGCATGGCACTCTACTGACAATAAACTGCATCCAGACAGCCACTATTTGGCAATTTCTTCCTGGAAAGCCTCCCAGATTCTCCCCCTCCACACACACACCCCCCCAACAAGGCTGGAGAATCCCAGCAGCTCATCCAACCACTTCCTTTCACACCAAGATCTGAATTAAGAACCACGTCAGGCAAAAACCGACCCTTTTTTTTGCTCTTTACAACACTGCAGAAGTGTTTTTAAAAAAATTCTGATACAACAGAACGTTTATTCTGCTGAGTCAGGTTAGCAAGTCCCAAAATTCCACGGGAATTAGCAACTTGACTCAGACATTATTGCACAAACTCATCCCAACAGCTCCACCTGACCGTGCCACTTGCATCTGCCACCCCCTGACGGATGAGACTGTTAATTAGCAGCATGTTAACCTGCTGAAAATTCCAGGCTGGGGACACTTCAATCAGCCCAACACAGTGGCACAGACTGTGGTGTTCCCATGCAATGCTGTGTCGTGAGGGAAAACGTTAAAGACATTTAAAATCCCTGTTATTTTCAAGAATAACCAGAAAGATTTAAGTCCTGTAGTGCCACGAGGTGCTCTGCAGTAGGATGGTTACTTTTCCTTTGTTTCTCCTTAAAATAAAGGTTAATTATCTTGATATCTGGTGCAGATGAGAAGCTGAGCCCTTACACTGGGTATATCACACTAAAAGGTACGTTAAGACAGAAGCCAGGCAGTGAATTGTTGTACCAAAGAGATCTAAACTTTTACTGCTGATTTAATTGGAATAACAGGCAAGACTATAAAAAGGGTTAAATGATTATAAGGAAAATTTGGAAAGGAAAAAGATTATTTTCAAATTGCAAGGCCTGACATAACTTTTACTCTGGATTAGAAATGCTGGATATATTTCTGTCACCAGGGAATTCCACAGCCAGAGTCAAACAAAGTAGTTTTCCCTCCATGGCAAGCTAATTTATTTTGGAAATAATACACTAATTAAACAAAATCTGATTTTTAAGGGATGTTCTTCCCCAAATAAGAAAATAATAAAAAAACCACCACCCACAAAAAAATAAAAACGCTGGGACAGCTACAGGATCCAGATACAACCATGGCCTGCTCTATAAAACAACCTAAAAACACCTTCTGTTCAGCCTTCCTTAAAGATCATAACCAGAAAGGATTTTTTTCCTAAAGATTTGACTATTTTTTTTCCCATTACTCGGGTTGCATATCAGCATCCTCCCTCATTTCCCACGTCCTCTGCTCCTCAGTTTCTCCAGAAGGGAATCAAATCACTCACCCACTGAGCATCCCTTACAATCCACTTGATAAGTTTAATAACATTTAAAAAAAATCAAATTAACTTAGAATTTTTTGAAATATAAAGATCTATTCCTTCTCCACGAGCTTAAAACTTGTTTTATATCCATTTTTCTGATGAACACGAATTACAGTCTCACATGCAGAACCAAAACCTGGACTGGGTTTGGATAATAAAACTGCAATTCTATTATTTCACTAAACTGCCATGATATTTTATTAAGCAGTAATGAAAATGCTCTGTATCCTGCACATTATGAACAATGATTTAGTCTTGGATATTCAAATAAAGAGTAGAGCAAGACATGACTTTAATCCAGGCCTTCCACATTCTGCTGACACACCCACCCAGCTGCTTTTCCTCACCTGGAAAAGGAGGGGACAAGAAATTCTCTGTGCCCAAATAATTGATCTGCTGCAGGTTTGGTGATGGCCAAAGCTCCCAGAAATAATGCTCAAAGAGTTTTTAATAACACAGGATAGGGAATGGAGCCAGGGGAATAAAGTCAGAGATCAGAACAGGAGAATATAATGAATTAAATGAATTAAAACAGTTCCCCAAGAAAAAAAAAAGATAAAGAATAAAAGACTAAAAGACAGGGAAAATAAAGCATCCACAAACACCAAGAGACCTACATAAAAATAGCAGCTTTAATAACTGGTATTATACAGAATAGTCTGTGCTTTAGGAAGACAGAGGAAAACCATGACATGTATGTGCCATGCTGATCATACTGCTCAAAAGCACCCAAAGGTGCTCAAGTGATGGGAACAGCAACTCCTGGTGGGGAGAACATTTGGGACAGAAAAAGACAGAAGAGGAAAGTGATACACAGAGAAAGAGACACTGCAGCACCACAACAGACAAAACCAGCATCAGGAGAAGAGGGAAATATTGTCAATTATTTGCTTCGTTTTACACAAGTGTTAACATGAAAAGATTACAATAAAATAAGGCTGTGGTACATGTAAGGCAAGCTGCAGAAATCACCACCACGAAAACACAGGCAGGGCTCAGATTTTGAAATGAGAAAGTGCAATTTTGATACACGTATTTTTCACTCCGACTAATGAAAGCTGAGATCCTTCCCAGAGACACAGAACAGTGAGAACACCTGACAGCGTCTGGGTGCTTTGGAGGATTTCACTTCAAACCTTTGGTTATCACTGTTACCACCTACAGGTCATAATGCTGATTCCACTTGGGATCAAGTGTATTCTTCACAGTATCTGTAGAATGGCATTGGCCAGAGCCGTCCACCACAACCTTGGCAAAGGGATCGGGGAGTCCTGAGGGGAGGAGAAGAAATAAGAAATAAAAAAACAAACCTGGCAAATAAGAAATAAAAAAACAAACCTGGCAAATGGCTCAGGATGCTCTGAAGCCCTGCATCATTGCACAGGGAATTCACTTTTTAATCTCCTATTTCCAGTTGCCTTCTATTCGTAAATGAGCAGCGTATTTAGTGAATGGGAACGACACGACATGTTAAGCACAGGGAATGGTAAATTAGAAAATTATCTCACTGATATGGACCAAGAAGAAGTTGTCTGAGTCAAACACACTGGGGAAAAAAACCCCTGGACACCTTAAATCTTCCTAATTCAGGGCTGAGTAAACTCTCAGTATACAAAGAAGTCAGCCAAAGGCAGAGAAAACAGATTTACATTGTTCCTATGTTTAAGATTAATCACGACTGTGATTCTGGCTGATATTGGTATTACAGAAAATTGCCCCTAACGGGTTATTCTTGCTTTTGAGGTGCACTTGGTTTCCTGCTAAGCTTTCTGCTTCGTTGTCTGCCACCTTTGCACCTGTCCAGTGAACACCCAAAATCAGTGCTAAGATGGAGCTGGACTGCCCAGCTGGGCATGGAAAAGCAGCAGGAGCAGCCCAGAATCAGCACAACCAACTAATGGATTGTACCCAGGGATCCACTGAGCCCAAGGACGGTCCCACCACTGATGCCCCCAGGTCAGCTTGTCCTGTCCCTTTTCTCTCCTCATCCCAGTGACCCAGCTGGGGGAACTGAGGTGGGGAAACATCAATCCCATTTGCTGGGGAGCAGTTTAGTCCCAGTCCCACTTCCTCAGGTGACTCAGGTGGAGCTGGTCAGGACAAGTGCCAGGGAAGGCATGTGGGGAAGGGGAGGAGCAGGACCCTGGGATCTACCTTGGGATCTGTGTGTCAGCCCTCAAGAGCATCCCAGAGCTCAGATCTTGAGTTGCTTTGGCTTTATTTTCAAGGCATCATTAAACTGTTAAACACCCAATACAAGAATCCAGATCAAAGAGAAATATCACAAATCACAGGGTAATTCTGAATCATCCCCCTCTCCAAGTTCTTTCCAAAGCTCAGGTCTGATGTTTGGAATTCCTCCTGCTCCCAGGTGATCTGTGTGTGTGCAGACACAGACAATAACATTCCTTTCTGCCTCCTTCATCTGCTTCTTAGCACTTCTCTCAAAACATTATTAAAATTAATTAAAATATAATTTCAGAGTAGGTCGGTATTATGAGGTGATTATTAATAATTAAGAAGCGCATCTGTTTGCTTGACAAAAAGTTCTTACATGAAAAACATTTTAATAAATATATGACACTAATTGAAAAACATGTCATTTGCCTGAGTGGGTACATTTGTCTCCCACTCCCATAAAACCAGAGAGAGTGTGTCAGTGTTTTAATTATTATTATGAAAATCTGATGAGTGTCAAAATTAGAAGCCCTGAAATAAAACAGTGTGAAAACATCAAAGCCCTCAAACCCTCCTCACTGCAAATATCTTAATACAGTGATCATGTGCAAACAATGGGCTACAGCACCTGCCTAATATTTATCCCACCTATAAATAGATGTATAAATAAATGTATGATACAATATATATATAATAAATGTATAAAACTTCAGCAGCTACTTACGGAAAAAATCCTTTTTCACCAGGTTTTTTGCACACAGTACTGCAAGAGAAACAGAAAGACAACATTAAGTTCCTGGTTGAAAAGAAAAAGTTACTTCGCCTGTCCAGCACTCCAGAAAATCCTGATCAAAATAAAATGACTGTAAATGAAAACTGTGCTCCTTCATCATTTATCATTGTTCTACAGCCCAGCAAAAGCTTCCCTGGTCAGAAAAAGGCTCTTCTGTTATCCTGCACGATAATAAATAAAAGGTTTTACCTGAAAAATATCTGGGTGGAGCAGACTAACTTCTAAGGCCAGGGTTTTGATGGTTCCAAAGATATCTTTTATTTGTAATAGTTGGTAATTGTTTCAAGCTTTTTTTGTTGTTTGGTTTGTTTCAAAAGGGGAGGAACATTTAAATTTGTCAACGGAAAACACCAAGGGGAAAACAACCTCCCCCGAGAATACATTTAAATAAACAAATAAATAAATAAAAGGTCAAAGGGGACAACTTTCATATGAAGGTGCCAAGGTACACAATGAAGGCTTCTCCTCACTAAGTGCAACATGGTCAAGGCTTATCTACTATCACAGGTTTAATAAGCAGGAAATATTAAGATTCCCTCGTGAAACATTAAAATATTTACTGATAACACAAAGGGATTCTTGGGGATTGAGCAAAAGCACCAATTCCCACAGCCAGCATTTAAAAAAAAAATTAGAAACAGGGGAGGGGGGGGGAGATATTTGGTTGGAGCTGATTCTGCAGGAGGCTCCTCGATGTTCCCTTCCCTGGGATGGTTTTCCTATGAGGTCGCCAATATTTATCAGTGCCAGGAAATGCAAAGACAGAAAAGTGCATCCAATAATCCCACCCCACAGACATCACCTAAAACCAGAGTCAGCCCTGCTTTCTCCCCCAGGGTATCCCCACACTGATCCTGAAGGGCTCCTGGTTCCCTCATTCCTTTTGCAGGATGTGAGTGAAAGCAAGCAGAGCAGTCCACGAACACTCCAAGTGTCCAGCAATTTAAATTCCACTCTATTCACACCATGGAGAACAACTGAAATGTATTTGGAGAAACAGATAATAAGACAGACCTAGAAAACTGCTTTTGCAGATCCTTAAGGTTTTATATAAGAACATCCTCAGCCTGAGAATCACCTGCCCAAGAACTGCAAGAGGTTATTGCTCACCAGCCACCTTGCATGGAGTGGTGAAAATCTTCATGGAAAATACATGCTTGTATTAATGGCTTTTTTTTTTATTATTATCTAAAAAAAGATATAATTACTGTCACAATTCTAACTATTACAAGTAATGGGAAGTGTCAGGTGAAGTGAAGGCTTTAAATCCAACAGTTAAGTCAAAACTCATCTACAGCACAGTGAGCCATGCAGGGTGCTCCTGGGACTCTCTAATGGCCAAGACAAAAGAGGTTTGACTAATCTTGTGAGAGACAAATTGCAAGGTTAACTAATTACAATGCTCCTTTTCAGAACTACAGCCAGCCTGCCAGTGCAGTTTAAGCCGAGTCCCACTTTTATAAGATCAGGCACATGCACAGCACACAGAACTAATAACTGCTCCCCCAGCAATTAGCCAGCAGTGAACAAACTCATATTTTTGGCTCAAGGTTGCCCTCTCCAGTAACCACAGTTAAGGAAAAGTCAGATGTCAACCCACTCTGGCTTTGTCAGGTTAACAAAACAGGAGAGATGCTGAGGAGCCTTCCATTAACAACACCCCCCGTGCCAGGTATTTGAGGTGAGAAAGGCCAGGTCCCAGCTCAGTTTGTGAAATGAAACAATCTCCCTCCACACACAGAGCTCTAATCTAGCTCAGGCCTTTTTTCTGCACAACCCTTTTCCCACCGGTGGGGAGTTTCTGCTCCACTTCTCCAACAGTTTCAACACCGCATTTAAACCTATCCTGAATATTCTGATAACCAACTGATGAATAGCTCCTTGAGAATAAAAACGAAGGAAGTTTGGCTTCCTATGGATTTCTGTTTTATGGCTGACCGAGAGCCATAGCTGAGGCTTTTCCCAGCGGTCACACTGACCCCCTCCCACACTGACAGACCCTCCCGTGCTCCGGCACCTCGGCATCTCCCGCTGCAGCTTTTTCCTCTCCCTCCAGGTCACCGCCTGGGCCTCCTCTTTATCCAGGCAATGACTCTCATAAAACTCACGGGACTTCATTATCTCTGAGTCCTCCACCCCACGGTCCATTTGAGCTCCAGATTCAAAAACCAGAAAGAAACCACCAGGAGATTTATTCCCCCGGACAAAGCCAAGTTAAAACGCTGATGGTTCTGGACCCAACCCGCATCATCATCAGATCTGCCACCGCTGGGTCCTCCAGGGGCACGAGGGCACCAAAGGGGGTTATTTGCTATTTGTAAGTGCTGTTTCAAGGCACTTTGTCTAGAAATTATTTTAGAACCAGAAGTGAAGCTGTTTAAACTTGCACTGGAAGTAGAACACGAACCAGTGGCTCGGGAAAAAAAGAGGGGGGAGTGTTTTGTGGTAAATGCCTCATCAAATGACACTAATGGTTTCTAGCACACATCTGTAGATAAAGTATTTATTACACAGTATCAGTGAGTCAGTGGATAGTTATGTTTTGTGTTTATTACAGACTTCCTGGGTAGTCCACAGACAGGAGAACATTACTATTGCAATGTGAAGGAACAATAGATACGTGCCAAGACAAACAGCACATCGATTTTACATACCATACATACATTAAATAGCTTTTGATCGTGCTTTATGATCTCATTCTAACACACGCTGCTCAGGCCAGCTCGCAGAAAACTCGAAAAGAGCACAATATCATAAGCTACCCACTCTCCTTCTACGCCAGCTTTGCTACAAAACACTCAAAAATAGGAATTAAGTGAATCACGTTTGCCAGTTTCCTTTCTCTGATTTATTACTCCAGTGACTGACAAAGAATGGTTTACTGAAAAGTTATTTAACTACTGCAAGTAAGTGTAAAGTATTTAACGTCCCCAAATCAAAATTTACATGCAATTATAGAGGGGGGTGAATAACTAGTGAAATCCACATAAAAATGACAGGAACTATGAATGTTCAAAAGGTGAGTTTTATAGAAAAGAGAAATATTCCTCTCGTTTTCTGAACTCTTCTTGCTCTTTTTGAAGAACTCTTGTTACAACTGTTTTCCGCTTGGGAATAATTTTTACAGAAAAATCAAACTTTTAATGTCATCGAGCTGTTGTTGTGGAAGGCAGCCTATGTTATACATTACTACTATTTAATGTAAATATTAAAAAATATGTTTATTGCAGAGTATTATCAATAACATCATGTCTCTTGATTTATGACAAATGACAAGGTTTAATCGTGCTTGAGGCAGGAGCACCTCAGGGCTCCAGCTGCAGCCAGTCACAATAGAAAAGCACTGAGTTTAAAATTTCTGTGTTAAAAAATACCACTGCTTGAGCCACCTTCAGTAAATAATTCTTAAATGTGGATATTTGAGACCCGACCGGTGAAAGGTAAGGGGAAGGCGGGTAAGAAAATAAAAAGTAATCATAAATATCCATGGAATTGAGCACAGAAGGAACCACGTAATTAAGATATTTAAAATTACATGGCTTAGTAGGAAACCCCCCCATCCCATGTCAGTCATCCATAAGAACCAACCACTGTGTCAACAGCCAGCCCTGAGGTTCCAGGCAAGGGAAAAGTTAAGATGATGTTTATTAATCTTCTGGTTTTCCACGTGTCATCACCACAGAAGAACAAGCTCAGCCTTCCGAATCCAACCGACAGTTTGGACATCAGAATTCTTGGTTTTTTGGGGTTTTTTTTCTCCCTCCAAGGGTTTTTCTCCCAGCAGAAGTGCTCATTGCAGAACATGTCACCCGTGGCAGAGCGAGGAGAAGGACAGGCTGCCTGTCAATTCTGACCACAACAGCTCATTGGGGAAGACAAGTCCTTCTCCCCTCATAGAAAGAGCATCTTTTAAGGCAAGCCATCAGTGCTGGGTTTGTGATCAGATCCCCGTTGTTCGCATGTTGTGTGCAGTGCAACACAATCACTGCAATAGGTCCCAGCTGCAGAAACACAATGCTGGGCTGTTGCTGATGTGTGTTGGACTGATAATGAATGGTCGTCTATGCTTTAATCTGAATAAAGCTCCCAACTGCTCTGCCTTGCTCCTTGCCAAAAATTCCCCTTCCTCCTCCAGACTGTGGTTGCATTCCAATTACACTGCTGATTGGAATGAGCCTGCTCGGGGGAGGGAGAGGGAGGGAGGCAAATGAAGGCACACACACACCCCCCTCCTGCCTTCAGAGGGTGCCCCCGGGACCCACAAATCGCTGGGGTGTTGGGACCTACAGCTGACACAACCTACTTTTCCCCACATTGTGCAAAACTCTTTGCAAATTCACTCATTTCCCTCAGAAAAGCATTTGTGACAGGCCCAGGTTCCAGCAGGATGGCTCGATGTTTGAAAGGTTTCGAACGAATTCCTACTGGTTTCTTCCACTGCTGGCACGCTCCACAGAAACTTATATTTCTCTGTTGCACTCCCTCCTTGGACCTGCCTGAATTCCCACATGGGAAGATAAAAAACAGGAGGTCTTCAACTATTCATGGGACAAAGAGCTGGAAATAACACCACACGGATTTGCAAATCTGCAGCTGTTGAGGTAATAACTTCCTCAGTTAAGGTTTTGAAATAAAACTGTTTATTCCAACTATTCACATTAAGTTTTATTCTACAATTAATCTCTCTGAGGATTTTCTTTTTTATTTTTAAAAGGTTTCATTTCCTTTGAAAGGTGCTTTTTCTGCAGATGAGCAGAACAAGCGACAGGACACGACCTGATGGTTTTTCCTCTTGCCTCTGTTTAAATCTAATCTGGACCTCGTTTAAATCTAATGCAAATTTACAATCTGTACCAATTCTACTAACAGTATGTGTTAGAACAATTCAAAAGCACTGATGGATTTTTAAAGTGCTATTTAATACTAACACGTCAGGCTGAAAAAAACATCCCACGCTAATTCTAAGTGAT